AAGTTAAACCCGTTGGAAACCAATGCTCTCTTTACACAGAATGTCCACCTAGATGCTGGTCGAAGGAACAAGCACAAAGCCCCAAAATACAGCACGGGGGTGGGAAAAGGTGCAAAGAGATACAAGGAAAACTACAAGCCAAGGATACAAGCACAGCATGAGCCCATGCGAATCGCGCGCAGTGGTTTAGGGTTTTTGGGTCTTGGGAGCAGGCATCGGCCTTCTCGTCTTCTTCGTCCTTCGTGTCGCTTGGCTGGGCGACGGCCGCATGCAGGACACTCCGTTCCCGATTGGCCTCGTCCAGACAAGGGATAGTACGAACTTATGCAATGGCCGCTTCGAACCCTGAACCCTTAGTGTTGTGCTGCGTACACTTCCAGCCCATTAAACCAGAATGAACCACGTCAACGGTAAAAGCCCATTCTATTGCCGAAGCGGGCAGGGCTTGGCTTACGCCTCCCCTTGGTCGACGTTCCCCTCCGACACGTGACCGGGTTTACGTCATGGGGTGATGGTTTAACATCTGCCCATAGGCTCCACAGTAGTTCCTTTTTGGCTTACCTTGTGGGATCCTCCTTGTAGGATCCTAAATAAAAACCACAAAAAGGAACTACAATGGAGCCTATGGGTAGGTTCAGGTGCCGTGGCCAGACTTCAAACTACCCGTGAAGCTGGTCAGGCGACTTACCTGATTCAGAGAATGCAATTAAAGTTGTTGATTGAAGCAGTGCTCTACAGCTATGCCTGCCCCTCCAACCCCGAGCTCATGTCAGGACAGGAAGGCCGATGAAGAAAGCAGTCACATGTGGGTTTCGGCTTCTTGAAGAACTGTGGCAAATCTTCTTCATGCTAATGTGGGGGTCGGTTTAGGAATATGGGCTCCTTTAATGCGTCGGCTCGGGGGCTAATTCCGACCGGTACCCATAAATTTTGGCGGTCTAATTAATGCGTTTTTTTTGCTAAGGGGATTTTTGGGGGGGCGGGGCTGTGCTGTTTGCTGATGGTCAATCTTAAGGCAGCCACGACCTGAAGCCCCCACCCAAACCCTAAAATGAACCGCCGAATCGGGGATTGGACCCTAGCTCAAAAAGAGGCCTCTCCAGTACTAAGGTTTGTATAAAAAATTAAGTCTTGGGTCGAATCTGGACCGACCCCCCTTTGGAAGGGTTTAGGGCTTCGGGTTTAGGGTTTGTTATAAGGTTTAGGAGTTTAGGATTCGTTAGGGTTTAGGGTTTGTTAAGGTTTAGGGTCCAGGGTTTAGGGTTTCAGGCGCTGGCTTTATGCTTTGCTTATTGGGGGAATGTGCTCACTGGCTTTATGCTTTGCTTATTGGTACTATTTCTGTACTATTACTGTATTACTACTGTACTACTGTACTACTGTGGTACTACTACTGTACTACTAGTGTACTACTGTACTACTATTGTACTACTACTGTACTATTACTGTACGACTATAGTTCTACTGTACTATTATCGTACTACTACTGTACTACTATTGTACTACCACTGTACTACTGTTGTATTACTATTGTACTACTGCACTATTATTGTACTACTACTGTACTACTACTGTACTACTATTGTACTACGGTACTATAATCGTACTACTACTGTACTGCTACTGTACCACTATTGTGCTACTATTGTACTACTGTACTATTATTGTACTACTACTGTACTACTATTGTACTACCACTGTACTACTGTTGTATTACTATTGTACTACTGCCACTATTATTGTACTACTACTACTACTACTACTACTACTACTACTACTACTACTACTACTACTACTACTACTACTACTGTACTACTATTGTACTACTATTGTACTACGGTACTATTATCGTACTACTACTGTACTACTATTAATACATGAGTAATTAATTACTTAGCTAAGCACCGAAACCTACTAAACCCCCCCAAACCCTTCTAATTAAGCCCCCAAACCCCAAATCAACCGAAGCCCCCAAGAAGCCCTCCTATTTAAAACCAAAGCAAACCACCCCAAAGCTCCCGAAACCTACAGAACCCTCTTAAGCCCGAGTACTTAATTAATTAATTAAGCACCAAACCCTACAAAACCCCCCAAACCCTAAGTATCCACCCAGACCCTGAGCCCCACTCAGACCCCTGACCCCTGTCCGGCGTCACCGGTTCCAGATTAATGAGGCCAAAACTTTTTGGTCGGGGGGGGGGGGGGGGTACCCTGTCCGTAAACCGACCGCCACATTAAATTGGATCATACTGTCCTGGGCCTGCCCATGCCCGCTGGCGCTTGCCGTTTCCAGAGCCTGCCGAGGCACGATGCTCCACGGACCCTCGGTGGTGCTCCGTTCCGAAAGTCTTCATCCCAATCCAAGCGGTTTGTTCGTTGACGTGGGCGGTTCCAGTGCTTCTGAATCCATACACATACTCTATTGACCGGTCGAACGTGTAGACCCGTACAGGAATTTCAGACACTTGTCTCGTCCGCTGCTACAAATATTTAAAAGAAAGGTCACAGAATCCGAGTGAAAAGTGAATCCGCTTCGAGAGACACTCGTAAGCTTTGAATACATCTCCGCATCAGTTGAAGTACAGGTACTTCATCGGGGATCTTTGCGGGAGTGGAGTTGAGCAGGGTGCAGATTGAAGTCAGGAGATGAAGGCATCCAGCTCGTGCCGCTGAACGCATCGAAACAGAACTTGCAATATCTGGCTTGCTAGTTTCCTACAGTAGAGTGCAGCTATGCTCTTCCAATATTTCTGCGACCACATAAAGTCCACCGAGAAAGCAACCTGCACAAACAACCTAGGGAAGCCACAAAGTTGTCGCACCTGCGCAGCATCTGATGGCGGCGGTAGTGGAGGCTCCTTGGCATGCTAAGGCGAAGCGAGATGATAATAATACTAACAATAACTATAAGCATAATGATAATAGTAATGGTAATAAAGATAACAATAATGGCAATATGAACACTAATAACAGTAATAGCAATAAGAATAAAGAAAAATAATGCTAACAGCAGTACTTAAAGCAGCAGAGTCATAACCATAAGACACATCATGTTGAGAGTAACAATAAATAATAGTTAGGGAAACTCCGGACAGACCATCGCACCATCTGCCTCGGAAGGGGGCGGCGTAGATGATTGCGGAGGCTCCTCGGCATGCTCATGTTCAGCGGCACAACCTCGACACTATAGTGACTAATTATGACACATGACTTATATCTCCCTTGCATCCGCCTCAGCAGCACAAGGTGGTGATGCGGGAGGCTCCTTGGCATGCTCAGCCGGAGCAAAGTTACAACCTCCAAGCAGCTCACAACACTCTGCCTCGGGAGGACACGGCGGGCTTGACGGAGGCTCCTCGGCATGCCCAGGCGAAGCGATGACAAAAACATACAACCTCTCAGCTATCTGCCTCGGAAGGAGGTGGCGGGGCTGCTGAAGGCTCCTTGTCATGCTCAAGCGCAGTAACTGCACCAACCTCAAGAAAGCATCGATCTGCCTGGGCAGGAAGCGGTGGTGGTGCCGCTGGAGGCTCCTCCACAAACTCAGGCGACGTGACGGCACGACCTGAGCCTCCCAGCCTCCGCCCCAAACCCCACCCTTAAGTTTCCGAAAATTCGGGGTACCTTATTTTGGGGTCCTTATAATAAGGATCCTACTATTCAGGGTACTATGTTGCTGTCGGGTCCCCTATTTTCGGAAACTCCCACCAACTGAATCCACAAAATCAGCCGTGGCAAGCATGGCCTCCTCTTTCTGGCAGGAGTTGGCAACATCCATGGGCCGGTGGGGCCTGAGCTGGGGCGGAACAACATGACGACCTAGAACTGGAGCTCACAAGCGGCGCGGGTGAATACAGCAGCCACGTTTTACGGATGAGCCTCACTTTCTTTATCTGACCAACTTACTCCATCTGCCAGCTTCCGAAGCCGTGCCACGCAGGAACGAAGCCCCATACGATGGCCAGGCCAGAGACTCTCTCTCTCTCTCTCTGCCGTGCCATTCCAGGCCAGAGAAACGCGGACATACATTGTTACATACCATTTCGCACTCGTGCATTGAAACCTCCAAGGGTTAATTCTGAGGCATAGCTATCTGCAGATGGGCCGCAATGGAGGGATGTCCTGCATCAGGAGATTCACTCAACATTGACATTCAACGAAAACTCCATTGGGTTGGTACTAAAGGAGCCTGAGGAATTCAATAGGATTTGGGGTCACATTATGCTACAGTGATGGTGAGCCGCTCAGAAAATACTACGACAAGTTGCAGTATATTAAACAGCATACAACATCTTAGGAACCCAATTTCTGCAAGCTCTGCATACCTAGAATCATGGAAAGCACTGTCCCTACACCGTGATTCGCAGGTGCTCTGACACGCTATGGTCTGCTCGCTTTAGGCAGATTCGGCAGATTCTGCTGGCCTTCGCAGCGGCGTTCAGCTTCAACTCCTCATTCTCTTGTCTGAGCTTCGAAATCTCAGCGAAGAGGCAAGCCAGAACCTCCTCCTGCAGATTGCTGGATGCTCGGGTGCGGCGGCCAAACTGAAGCTATATGGAGACTGCAGAGAAATCACACCAAAGCATGTTCTTTCGGCTCCTGACACTGATCTCGGGCTTGAATGACCTCTGCGCTCTTCGCTGGTGGATGGTCTGCCTCCTGTCGGTTGAAGATGCTGTGCAATCGCAGGTGAAGCACCAGGAACTGTTACCCTCACTTCATCCTTGCAGCCGGGGCGAAGGGGAGGTGATCAAGGGTGTGATCGAGGCCGCTGCAGCAGAAGATGCAATGAAGGGCTAGTGGCATCCGGTATGAGCCATGACGATGCTCACGTATCTGACTGCTTGCTCACTGGACACACGTTTTGAGCTTTTGGGTTGATCTTCCGTTGACAGAATGGAGGGAACCCGTTGAACTGCTTAGCTAGGAATGAAGTCAAGCACTAGGCTAACAATCACTAAAGAGAGGATGTTGAGAGACACGCGGTGCTTTTCCTTGTCCTAGGGATGACTCCGAGCGCCATGGACCATGGAGCAAATCTCTTCCTTATCCCGGTGTCTCCCCGCCTCCAGTGTCCCAGGGCCGTTTGGAGGCGCTGGGCAGAGGTCCACAAACAAGCCCGCTTCCTCACCGTCAGGAGTGCTTTGGGTTTAGCATAAGGCTTAAGGGTTTCGGGTTTGATAAGGTAGTTCATTCATCATTCATCAGTTACACGGAAATAGGTCCCAATGTGTACGTAAGGAAGGGTTTTTGGGGCTTCATGGTTCAGGGTTTCAGGGTAATAAGGAGCAGGTGTTTTTCTTGTTTCGGGTTCAAGGGTTCGGGTTGGCGGCGGTCCAGCGCGCAAGAATTTTCAGGCATCTCTGAGAGACGGCAAAGCAAATCACAGCTATAAACCCGTCAAGGCACGAAACATACAGTATCCCCTTCTAGAACCCCAATACAGACAAGCAAGACAGGCCCGAAATCAGACTCTATGCCCCTGCGGTCAAGAGTCGCGGAGGGGTTGGACTTCGGCAACACACCGTGGCTTTTGCATGACGGGCCTGAGCAGGAATCAGCACAGCACTAGGAAATCACAGTACAAGATATCAACTAGTCATATCTGGCGGAGTCGGGCGTATAGTTGCAACTGAAAGTACGCGCGTCGTGCCTTTACGCCCCTTAGAACCACAACAAAAGTAGTATGTTTACTATTCTCTTGGGTTTTATATGGAAAAAGCTAAAAATAATTCCTGAGGAGACTAGAGGTGCATCTTGAGAGTGTAGTCATACCGAAGCCTTCGAACAACCGCTAGCTGCAGATAGGCGGCTGCGACATTTCCTGCTCAGGCAGAGGAAGAGTTTGGCGACAGCCGGGCGGTGCTGGCGAAATACTGTCCTGCATTACCCACAATAAGGAATATACCATAATTCTCATAGGTCAGGGTCCCTAAGGTAATTAACGCAGAGTTTATATCATCAACCCTACCATCTGTTTCTGTTTTCGTGATAACTTCGTCTCCAAGTTTCGTTCTCTCACAGAAGTTGGCCACCGCAGGTGCTCTCTCCACTCGTTAGGGTTTAGGGTTTAGGGTTTAAGGTTTAGGGTTTAGGGTTTAGCCGCCCAGCACCGGCTGCAAATCGTCAAGCTGCTAAGCTTGTGCTTCACATGCTCTGAGATTGATCCGCTGCCCGACTTTACGAAAACCATGCGATGACACCTTCGATCAAAACGCCTACCTTCCATCAGAGCCTGCCGAGGTTTTAAGGTTCCCCTTCTGCCGAACCTGGCCTACCCCCCAGCTGCTCCGTTCCTTCGGACTGCGAATCTTGAAGCGCAAAGATCAGACGTACACCAGAGAAAGTTAACAGAAAAAGAGGACACATCGTGCGGGAATGTCGGGACGGCCACCGAAGGCATCAAAAGAGCAAGCAATCGTCGTTGGAAGATACACCTGTTAGGCAATGCCAAATGCCAATTGCCAACCACTCTGAGCTAGGATGCAAAATACCATCAAAAAAACAATTCCGAAATAGCACCACCCGATTAAACCCTAAACCCTAAAGGATTAAAAACATCTGGCATTCGCTCCTCCTCGGAAACGAGCTCTGGTCCTTCGCGAAAGGGCCGAAAGGCAGCCTCACCAGTTGCAACATGGCTGGTCTCTTTGTCATGCTTCGGGCCTCTTAGGGTTTAGGGTTTAGGGCGTATACGACTTGTTCGGACTTTGCAGGATTCTAAAGATTGATAACCCGAAGCGTAAACCCGAAACTCTAAACCCTAAACCCTTTGGTACCCAAATAGTAGCCCATATAGTTCCCTTGTAGTTACCCTTCATGTTCCCCACGAACAGGGTCCAAAAAGCACATAAGCAAAAATTAGGATAGGGATATCCCATATAAACCCCCGTATGATGAAGCCCAATAAGGTCGGGAAATTCCTATGAAATCTTTGTGCTTATGTCCTTCTGGGAGTCCCTGACCCAAAACCCTAAACCCTAAGCCCTAAACCCTAAACCCTAAGCTATATAAAGCGGCAGCCTTCAGGGTGTCATAGGCTTCTCGGAGCACGGCATTGGATTCCCGAAGGCCGGTCACCTCATCCTGTCGACAAGACGCAAGCCCGGAAGAACTCAGACGAAGCTCCCGAAAAGGCCTAAACAGGGTTTAGGGTTTCGACTCGCACACTCGCTCTCGCAGGCACGGCTCCAGGGTCTCCGCTGCTACCTAGGGTTTAGGGTTTGGCCTAAACCTTGGGCACTGCCCCTAATACAGTAACAGTCTAGAATAAGTCTACTATTAGGGGCCTAATATGTCTATATTATGAATATTGCCCAACTAATGATGAGTGGGGGCAGTACCCAACCTAAACCTTCATTCTTGTATGTATGCACGTATGTATGTACATCTAAACACACATATACGCACATAACTATATTGACATACATGCAGTTAGATACAGATACAGATATAGATACAGGTATAGATACAGATATAGATACGGAGGTAGGCATAGGTACAGAACTAAACTTATATGAATAAATGCCGGTATGTGCGTGTGTGTGTGTGCGCGTGTGTGTATGTGTATGTGTATGTGTATGTATGTATGTATGTATGCTGAAATCAAGCGCTGCTTCTCCTCCAACTGTCGGAGCTCTAGCCCAGTCTCCGATGATCGTCCCGTGACCTCGTCCTGCTCAGGTCTTACGGGACTTTGGTCGAGCGCTACAGGGCAAGATAGGAGCATGATTCAGAAACCTGGATCTCTTTGGTGGTTCTTGATATGAGTCCTAAGATTTTCGAAATCCGAAAAGGCTTTGAGTGTAGGGTTTTGGCTTTAGGGTTTAGGGGTTTGGTGTTTTTTGTTTAGGGTTTAGTGGGCTTTGGGATGTTTCGGATTTCAGCGCCCACACTCGGAGGATCTAGGCAAGGCATATCCAGGGTTTCGACGCCCACAGTCGCACAAGGCAGGCAAGGCTTCACGACAACGGCTCAAGATTACACCGGTCGCCGTTGCCGCTCACGAAAACCAACCACCCAAGACACCCAAACAACTTGGAACCCGGAAACACACTAACTTGAACCCACGAAAATCCACAGAATGTAACCCTTGCCAAACTTGGGCTGAGGGTTCAGCTTTCAAATTCTCCTCAAACAACTGACCCAAACCCCAAACCCTAAACCCCAGCCCTAAACCCTGGCCTGCGCTTCCGGAAGCTGCCTTTTCCCATCAGCCACAGCTCGCAGGCCAGCGATCATCTGGAAGGATTCCTGAAAAGCTAATTTTTTTCCCAGAAAGCCGTATACCCCGTAATTAAGGAATATAGCTTAACTCATAATATGAAGCCCCTAGTGATTTAAGGTATATTCCTTAATTAAGAGGTATTGGGCTCTCTGGGTTCCCTCCTACCTAGGGTTCAGGGTTGAGGGATTCCTAGATGGGCGCTGACAGGGTGGCTGTGAGAGAGCTACAGGGATTCCTAGGAAGGCCTAAAGAGTTGCCTTGAGAGTTCAAAAAGGATTCCAAGAATGGCTCAACAAGGGTTGCCTTAAGAGTTCTCTACAGATTCCTCAAATGGCTCTATAAGGGACCCAAATTTCCGTTGCGCATTGTGCAGACACAAACTGGTACGGATGTATCCGAAAAGCACCCCAAAGTCGAGAACACAGACATGACATCAGTCATCTCTTTCCGACAACCCCGTCCTCCAGCTTGTGATACCTGTCGCTCACTTGCCTGAGCTCGGCCTGTGCCGAGCGCAGAGCCGCGACCTCGTCCTGCGTCAAGATCGCCAGGCATGTTCACGAAATTTGTGGACTGTGAAGACATGACGTGAGACCAGGTCCCTATGTATTGCTTCTCCTCCAGCTTGCGATATTTCTCATCCGCTGCGCTGAGCTCGGTCTTCACGGCATCCTTCTGAACGGGCATACTCTGGGTGCACATGAAACATGGCATCAAGAAATATCGTTCAACCATCGCCTCCTCCGACTTGTGATGCTCGATCGTTTCGTCGAGATTGGCCTTCGCTGTGCACAGGCATGCGACCTCGTCCTGAAACAGGACATGGGACACGGGAGATGTGGCACGTGCAGTGGCAAGAACAAGCTTCGGCAAGCTGGATGGAAGCCAATTCCAGCATCTTCGGCGATTCACGGCACTCACTAGAATCACTAGAAAGTAAACGACAGGAATCAGTGCCAATATAACCCACATTAGGGGACGTATAACCCGACTTATAATTGAACCCTAAACCCGAAACCTTCAATCATAAACCAGCTTCTCCTCCAGCCCGCTCTGCTCGGTCTTCACTGATCGCGCACACGCACCCTCGTCCTGCAGAAGGTGCTGAAAGCTGCTTGGCTTCTCTATACTGAACTTAGAACCCTAGCAAAAATGATGAATTTGCTGTTTCTTAGGGACTATAATAACCAAAAACGAAAAATTATGTCTAAGTACCCCTCAGCTCTCTTCATGCCTTCCCATGCTTCGTGCGCAGGTGCCGACTCTTCGTCCCTGTTCTTTCTCCGTTAATGGCTTGGTGTGTCAGTGATACGTGGGGATGTCGGAGACCTGGGGTACCTTACTTGAGGTACCACAGGGAGGGATCCTACTACCTAGGGAGTGGGTTTGTCTGCTTGTACCGTATGACCAGCTGTATATCATAGGTGTATGTATAACTATATCTATACGTGTATGTATATGTATATGCATGTGTATACGTGTATGTATATGTATATGCATGTATATACGTGTATGTATATGTATATGCATGTGTATACGCATATGTATATGTATGCATACATGTATATGTATATGTATGCGTGTATGTATATGCATGTGTATGTGTATGCGCATATATGTACAAATAAATAAATAAATAAATAAATAAATAAATAAATAAACAAATAAATAAATACATAAATAAATAAAATAAATAAAATAAATAAATAAATAAAGAAATAAAATTAAATAAATAAATAAATAAATAGATAAATAAATAAATAAAAAAATAAAGAAATAAATAAAATAAATAAATAAATAAAGAAATAAAATTAAATAAAGAAATAAATAAATAAATAAATAAATAAATAAATAAAGAAATAAAGAAATAAATAAAGAAATAAATAAAGAAATAAAAAATAAATAAATAAATGAAGAAAGAAAGAACGAAAGAAAGAAAGAAAGAAAGAAATCTAGATATATATATATATATATATATATATATATATACATATATCTGTGTGTGTGTATATATATATACATATATATATATATATAAGCTCACCCCCCCCCCCCCCCAAGATCTACGCTTTCGTGGTTTTTGGGGCATGGGGGGCACGAAACACTGCTATGCTCAAAAAAATCCAAAATTTCTAGCCCTGAAACTCACGAAACACTGTAATGCCCAAAAAGTTCCAAAAAATACCAAAACTCTGGCATCTATGGCCAGGCCGGGAGCAGATTCCTTAAAAGTTTGGAATTTTTTGAGCATAGCAGTGTTTCGTGAGCTTTGAGGCAATGAAAAACTGATTTTTTTTGAGCATTACAGTGTTTGTGAGTTTTAAACAACGAAACACTGCTATGCTCAAATTTTGTAAGGTTTGAGGCTGTGAAAAGTTGATTTCTTTTGAGCATTACAGCGTTTCGTGGTTTAAAACTCACAAACACTGAAATGCTCAAAAAAAATCAAATTTTTTAAGACTCAAGGCTCACTTTTTTTGAGCACAGCAGTGTTTCGTGGTCAAAAACTCACAAAACACTGTAATGCTCAAAAAAAATCAACTTTTCACAGCCTCAAACCTTACAAAATTTGAGCATAGCAGTGTTTCGTTGTTTAAAACTCACAAACACTGTAATGCTCAAAAAAAATCAGTTTTTCATTGCCTCAAAGCTCACGAAACACTGCTATGCTCAAAAAATTCCAAACTTTTAAGGAATCTGCTCCCGGCCTGGCCATAGATGCCAGAGTTTTGGTATTTTTTGGAACTTTTTGAGCATTACAGTGTTTTGTGAGTTTCAGGGTTGGGAATTTTGGATTTTTTGAGCATCACAGTGTTTTCTGATGTCCAGGACAGGATATATTGCATCACAATATAATTGGGTGCTTTCAACCGTTGTCAAGGACTGGAAATACTGTTTCATGTGCCTTCTGGAACAGCAACGGTTTTCATTACTCTTGTCTGATATGTATGAACAGTCCTGCTTCATGTTTGGAAGGTTGCAAGAGCTCTCGTACTTTTTGCTGCAGACGAGCCTTCTTGTGCGCCCGCATATGCACAGGAACCTTTCCACTCCAGGGGAGCTTTCCCATTTCTTATGAGGCAAAGAACCACTATTGGAGTATTGCTTCAAAAATAAACGCGCCGTATATTCGACTTTTTTCATGTATAATGGACAGGACATGAAAGGAGCTCTTTGTATTTCGTAACTCATATATCAAACGCTAAACTGATTAGGCCGCATCAGAATCGGACGCTTCACGAGCAGCGGGAAAGAGATGGCCCACGAACGCAGACGTCTTCGTAAGAGAGACAATAGTTGTTAAATAACACACCATAAAATGCAAAAAAACACGAGGTTTATTAGTATTACATGAACAAAACTAGCACGCCCTCCAGCATTTCAGCTTCTCCAACACATAAACTACCATAAATCCGCGGCCGAGATTCGGCGCCAGATTTTTACACATATCAAACCCGCGCCTTGCGGCAGCACGGTTTGCATGCACATGAGGTAAAGCACCAGTGTATCGGTATTTACGGTGTTTTCGGTATACATGAGTAGTCGACCAATGTAGAGAAACAACCTGTGGAATCGTGTGGAAGAGGCGGGTGTAGATCTTGGGGGGGGTGACCATATATATATATATATATATATATACATACATACATATGTACAAGCACATATGTATATGTGTGTGTTCATGCAGTATGTGTACAGTTATTTAGATTTCATTCTGTGTTCGTTTGTTGCATGGTAGACGCCCCCTGGACGCCCCAATTGTGCCAGCCAGCTCGAAAGAGGGGTGCAACTGGCTGTGGTGCCTTCATCTGCCTCGACGAGAGCTGTGATGTTCCTACTTCTTAGCCCTGGAATCCCTAGAACCCAAACATACCCAAACCCCAAAACCTGCCGGCCAAAACCATTCATGGCGGCAGGCGATAGGATAACCGGACCAAGTTCTCCTGCCGACTCTTGTGGAATATGGTGTGCCAGCGCATTATCTTTTTAAACAAGTGGATCACCCGGTCCTTCATCTTGATCCTGATTTTCACCGTGTTCGCTGGAAGTGGACATGCGACTTCCTCCTGCACAAGACAACATCCGGCAGGCACCACCCAAAAGCTGGCACCTGCAGCAAGTTCCAGAAAGCAGCCGGAAGTGCAGATTTGTGCATGATATCAAGCATGTATGCGTTCTCCTCCAGCTTGGGACGACTTTCTTTGACTTCGCTGAGCTCGGTGTTCGCGGCACCTGGGCCTGCGTCGTCCACCTGCAGCACGAAGGACAGACAAAGCCCACAAAGGAGCCGCATGGTAATCCACGCCGAACTTTCCCCAGTATCTCAGTATCACATGGTCGTCGAAGAGACATGGTATCAAGAAACATCTTGCAACGATCGCCTCCTGCAACGTGTGATGCTCTCTCGTTTCTTCGAGATTGGCTTTCACTGTGCACAGGCAGGCGACCTGCTCCTGAGGCAAGGACATGTGACATTGGAATCGTGGCACGGGCATGCAAGGACAAGAATCAGAAGGAGCTACAGCAAGCCGGAACGACGTTACAGTGGCACCCCTTCTATCGTTCACTGTGTGCAGCCAAATTGGGGCGATGGTGTGACACTCGCGCCCTTACACCCTAAACCCTAGACCCTTACGATTACCTTCAAGCCTAAACCAGCTTCTCCTCCAGTCCGCAAAGCTCGGTCTGCACTGATCGCGCGCATGAGCCCTCGTCCTGCAGAAAGCGGTGCACTGAAGCAGGGTTTTCTTGCAGTTTACGGTTTTTTGGCGTATCGGATTGGAGTTTAAGTTTTCAGGGTTTATATAGGGTCGGGCTTAGGGGTTTTAGCGCTTAGGGGTTTTTTTTCCCTCCTACCTTAGGGGTTTAGGTTTAAGGGTTTAGGAATATCTATCTGTATATATATATACCACGACATAGGGTTTGCAAACTAGGCATTGGCAATTCCTTGGTGCTGGAAGCTACTTAGCTTCACTTGATGCATTCACTGCATCCAAGCGGTGACGAAGTGCTTGAGGTGGGAAACCATGCAAACATACCTATACAAGTAAAAGGTCGCGGCCCCATGCCTGCAAACATAATTCCACGACACCTCTCACCGTCTCGATCCGCTAAAAGCCTAACCTTCGTGCAGTTCCCGCGCTCTTCTCCACACTATCCTTCTGGAGGATCGGAGTAGCAGCTGCTGGATCTGACACAGCTTGTGCCGTGTCCTCGGTCGGTGGTGGGGAATTCGCTAGGTCACCGCATCTTGCGGCAAGAGCTGTGCAATGCTACAATCCCCCAAGTAATCCCCTTCCATGCAAAACCCTAAACCCTAAACCCTGAACCCTGGTAAAGCCTTCTTTAGGAGCCATCGAGTCGGTATGTCTGGTACAGTACCGCGGTGACTCGAGCAACCTGGCCCTGACTCGGGCCATCCTTTTAAATGCCCGACCCCAGATTCGGGTTTTGCAATGCGCGACCCTCCGCATGCAGAGCACGGCACAGCACGCACACTAGCAGCCTTCATGGACTCGAGATGAAGGCACAAGGCCGTTTCAGCTTCTCCCAGCACAGACGAGTTTGAGCCCAGATGTCGCAGCAGCTTGTGCCGAGAAGGGCTGAAGGCGGGATGCTTCTCACTCTCCATTGGCCCTTGGGCACCTCAAGCAACCCATGGTTTGAGCCAGACCAGGAAACATCTCCAAGAGCGCACTTGATGGGGTAGCCCCGCCGGAGTAAACCACTCCCCCCATTTCGGCCGAGTTTGTCCGACTTGTGTTGCAAAAGCCTAGGAGGAGCCCTGACTACGCAAGCCACCGAGCAGGGCTGAGCAGTGCACGCTCTTAACAGAAAGTGGCTTATTGTACTGCAGTAAGGGACAGCCGCTCGGGAGCAAACAATTCAAGTCAAGAGCGCACCGAGTCGTTGACGCAGCTCCTTGCTGTCGCGCTGTGGCTTGTCGGACTCGAAGTAGCAGACTCGAAGCAAATCAGGGACGGTCGCACTGGCAACTACTGAGAGCAGAGTGGGGGGAACATGTTCATCAGGAAGTAAAACTCCCTTAGTCCTCTTAGTTGCTGAGTTCATAAGCCCCTAAATGTGTACACTTTTAATTCTATAGTGGGTAATATTATCCCAAAAAGTGTGAAGTGTATCCACTCCGCTACTAAGTCCTACCCCCGGTGTCCCCAACCCTGGCAAGCCCACGGCCTTGGAAGCGGTTCCTTAAAGTGTAAGGTTTAGAAGTTAGGGTCTACGGTTTGATGGGGTAGGGTCTAGGGTTCAGGTTTTGGGCTTACAGCTTTCGAGGTCCGGGTCTGGGGTTGGAAGTTAGCTTTGAGTTTCCTTTATAACTAATATGCAGCCGAGTTTCTTCATGATCGGCATTGCAGGATCCGGGTAAAGAGGCCTCTGTCTGAGTGAAACTTGATGGGCCCATGTCAGCTTCTCTGACAATAGTGCAACTGCTAAACGTCTTTTCCCAACAACATCCGGCACGTGACTTGAAGCTTTGTCCTGGTGGTCTTGAGACGACTTTGCTAGTGGGGCTCGTGGGGAACTCGTGTTGTTTCAACCCGTATGGTAACCTTCTGGCGTACTGTATACTGAGCAGTCACCCAGTAGTAGCCCTTATTGCTCACTCACAGCAACCTTATGTAACCCGTTTGCTGGCCCTTGCGATTGCGAGACCCTTATAGTAACCTTACAGTAACCCCCAACAGGACCCTCATAAGAGCCTTTCTTTCAGCAACCCTTCAAGTAAGCCTTAAACCCAGTAACCTTTACAGGGTGGTTCAACCTGAAGTTGGCCATTGACACACACACACACACTCTCTTCAGACTCCTTCACCCTCATCTCTCCGAGCTCCCACAGCAGGTGCTTTTTGGTGGCCTTAGGGTTTAGGGTTCAGGGTTGAGGGTTTTAGGGTTTACAGTTTTGGGGCTTTGGACTCTCGCAACTCGCACGCTGCAGCTTTGGGGCTGTAGGGTTTTACGGCTGGGAGGCCAAAAGGGGGTTTAAGATTCTTGGGCTAGGGACTCCTTGATATGAACCCTACTATGGGAACCCTAATCCCCACTAAACCCCCATAGGCTAAAACTCCTTTTGGCCTTCCATGATTTACGGTTCAAGGGCTTTTGACTCGCATACTCGCGCGGGGCAGGCACGGAACCACCATACAACAAGAAACAACCTCAGAGAGAGCGAGCTCCAGTCTGCCCGCAACTAGGACTTGACGTCTTTAGGGTTTAATTTAGGTTTAGAGTCTTAGGGTTCAGGGCTTTGGGTCTAGGGTTCTGGCGGGATTTAATTAAGGCTTTAGGGTTCCAGGGTTCAGTATTCGGGTCCTGTGAGATCTCAAGAAAGATCGTCAGGCTTCTGAACGACGTCTTCATTGGAGGCGGTCACCCGCGACGGTTTAGGGGTTTCGGACGAGAAACTTCGAGTGTTGGAGCGGTTTAGGTTGTCAGAATACACGTTGCCGGGGTTGGCATAGCGGCTTCACAGTTTGCTATTGGGGAGAGGCGGCCGGAGGCTCGGGGTTTAGGGTTTAGAGGGCTTGGTCATAGTGAAATCTGTGCCAACTGAAACGGAGATGCGCAAAGGTAGATGGATGCTTCTTGGCAAAGCCCTGATCACGGTTGATGCTTGCTATAAGTACCCCCAGTAATCATTAATGCATTTAGTTCGAGTAGCATGCTCATAACTACAACGTCTTGCTACTCGATCTGAGCTCAGATATGAGTACGTCCTCATCGGAAAGAGCCAGGACTTGTTAAACCGAAACGTCACACGAAGGGGTTTGCAGTCCTGGCCTCCTCGCTACCGGCTCTCGTCGACTCGACAGCCTTTTTAGGGTTTAGGGTTCTGGCGCGACTTGCACAAGACAGCAGCAACAACACCAACAGCAACGGCAACATAAGAGCAAGAGTAGGAGTAACAGGAGCAGCAACAGTAGCAGTAAACGTGACGTAGTGACAATCATCAGAACAACGGGAAGATTAACCAATATGACCAGGAAAACACTGCGGATGCAGATGTTCATGCTCGCTGCTAGCAAAGGCACTACCACTACTGATGGTGATAATAACCGTAGCTGCTGTTCTTTTGAGAAAAGCCGTTCTAGTGACAAGCATGTTCTTAGTAGCAATACTACCAATGATAAAAGGTCTCTGACGCATGTCCACTGCACCAAAGCACTCTAGCCCTCATCCCAGCACCTACTCCACGACGAAGTCTGAGTCCAAGTAATCTGACGATGCTGTGCCAGTGAATGTGCAACAACTGACTCAAGCTCTCAAAAGCTCCAGGCCATAGTCCATCATAACATGGCTCATTGCCTGCAATCGCCGCGCTTTCCCCCAGTCTGCCGTCTGCCTGAGTTGTCTTTTAAGCCCATTGAAAACTGATTTACTATTATAACTCTCTACAAAAGAGTAAGGGAAATGAAAAAAGATCCCAAACGACAACCCTAAACTCTAAACCCCTTTTTTGCCACTGGGCTCGGGGCAAACTCTAAACCCTAAACCCTAAATCCCAAACCCTAAACCCTAAACCCAACCCAGCTGCATGAGTGTTCTCACCACCGCAGGTGGCTCGTTGCCCCATAAGGCGTAGTTCAGCGCCGAACGTCCACAAACATCGGCCTTTAGCTTGGACGGTTGAGCGTTTAGGGTTCAGGGTTTAGGGTCTAGGGTTTATAGGGTTTAGGCTTTAGGGTTTAGGGTTTAGGATTGGCTTCTTGTTCAAGGGCTTGATGTCTGTTGTCCATAACGTTTGTGTAGGACTTCGGGTTAAGGAGTTCAACTTCGGTTCCTACAACAAGGAAAGCATACAGTTTAATGCATGTATACGTGTATGTATGTATGCATGTGTGTGTGTTTGTTTGTACGAACTGGTGCATGTGTGTAAGCATGTATGTGCTGATGTGGTTTTGTAATTGTTCTTTCGTTTGTCAATGGATCTATCTATTTTTCGGCTTAACTGTATTTTATTCATTTGTTTGCGTGCGTAGATATCTATTCATGACCTTACTCCCATTTGTCATTATATGTGTCTTCATTTGTTTGTCCGGTTTACCTAATTCGTTGAGGTGATTTTTAGCTGGCTTACTCAATTTAACCTCTGTACCTTATCGAAGCTGTACTTTTGTTACGTACTGCATGTGACATACATACAAACATGCATGCATACATGGAAATATATACATGCATGCGTAAACGTTTTGATACATTCATACATACGTACATACATACATACGTACATACATACATACATACATACATTTGTGCATGCATATGTGCATCATGTACAAAAACAAAACTACATCCATACATACACCGCACTTACTTGTACTTTGACTAGCTTCTCCAGCAAGAACCCAATGTAGAGAGCAGTCTTCTCTCTGAAGGCGCATTTGGAACCCCGGCCGCTCAAACTGCGACTGTTCACCAATGTACACTTAGACATCTGGGAGTTTCCCGAAATTGGGGACCCTAATATAGGACCCTAAATTATGGGATCCTTATTATAAGGACCCCAAAATGAGGTACCCCTAATTTTCCGAAACTCCCATATCAGATACCCTTCTCCCCCTTACTTGCTCGTTTTAGGGTGCCGGGGGGTCCTTTCGCCGGTTACCAGAGCACGCTGCAGACCACCCCAACCCTCACTGACTAGAAACCCTACACCGCTATACCCTGAGCCTGACCAGCCGTACGACAAAGGTCCTAAACTGCTACTCCCGATCAAAAAAAGGCTCCTGTCCGGCCTGGACAGGACTGCATTTCATGTCCAGCAGCTTCGCAAGAACCTGCACTGGAAGGCTGTCAGGGTCTGAGCCTTTATCACACCCTCATATCTATTACATGCATGCACATGCACGGGCATACTGTATGCGATGCTACACTATACTATATGTGAGTATGTATATACACAAAGCATTCTGTACTACATTGTAGTATACTGTATCGTACTAGTACACACTGTATGAAACTACATGATACTATCTTCTACTCTATTCTGCTGTGTCCTGTTATGTTCTTGTACATTATACTATATTCTACTATACTATACTATGTTGGGCTGTGTTGTACGATACTATGCTATGGTATAATGTATTATGATGTACTAGACTATATGGATATCATACTTTTTGTACCTTACTGTGCGTCTTGCACGATGTTGAACTATGTGAAGAACCCATGACATATTGGACTATACTAAACTATATTGCACTGTATCATACCGTATTATACTGGTACGATACTTCGTTGTCGATTATCAATTATTCTACTATACTATACTATACTATACGCAAAGCATACTTATGCTCTTGAGCCTTGATCCTCGCATCTTCGCAGCTGCTGCCCAGGACGTAGTAGAGAGCATTTCGACCATCTGCATCCTTGCACCGGAGACGGCCGGTTCAGGGTTTAGGGGTTAGGGGTTTAGGGCTTAGGGTTGTGGGTCATCCTGACACCAGAGATGGCTTGACTTCAAAAGTGATTCAATACTGGCTTCCGGCCACATGCGCCCCTGATCTGCAATGTGTGACACACTGCCTGCTGCATCAGCCAGTATAAAAACATACGTAATTTGTGATCTTATCCGCCCCCCCCCATGGTCCGTAGCCAATCTACACTGGAATATGACCTGTATATGCGTGTATGCACGTATATGATATCCGGCCTTCTGCGTGGCAAGCTCCCGACTGCTTCGGAGCAGCTTAAGAGCGAGCTTCGGAGTGCCAGAACACGCCTCAGAGTTGGTCTCATACTTGGATGTTCATGGGTAGTTATAAGTAGGGCTATAAGCAGGGTAACAATAGCTATAACCCATGCTAGGGGACTTATAACCCCATTTATAACTACCCGTGAACCTCCAAGTATGGAAAAGTATCGCATAATATGGTCGTAGAATGGAGCAGAATACGGCACATAGAACAATATGGTAGTGTTACTTGGGGTGACTTTATTGAAACATGGTCGTGGTTTGGGGCATGTGCACTTCACCAGGGAAAATCGGGAAAGCCCTTTTTGAGCACGGACTTGGAGTGTATGCCGGCAGCGAAGCTCTAGGGCAGAGCCTTCCTCAGTCACCTTTGCCCTAAACCCCTTAACCCTTAACCCTAAACCCCTAAACCCCTTAACCCTAAACCCCTAAAGCCCTTAACCTCCTTAACCCCTACACCCTAAAGCCCTAAAGCCCTAACCCCCAAACCATGAAAGCCTCAGGCGGCATTGACTTCACTGCCGAGTTGCGAGGTGGAAGGCGCTCCTTGGCTAACAGACGCCCAAAGGAAGGGCAGGGGACTTAGTAAGGGCTCTTAAAGGGCTCCTTAAAGGGATCTATAGGGTTCCTTAAAGGGATCTATATGGGGTTTAGGGCTTAGGGCTTACTTGGAAGGGCAGGGGACTTAGTAAGTAGGTTATAAGTAGGGTTATAATTGGGGTAACTCCATTCAGGGTACTTATAACTCTACTTATAACCTACTTACTACGTCCCCTGCCCTTCCAAGTATTCTCATAGAGTATAACACAGCATAGTGAAGTATACACAAGTATAGCATAGCATAAAATAGCACTACTAAGTACTAGAGTTACATAATGTTTAGGGGTTTGGGGTTTAGGGTTTAGGGCCCTCCTTCAGTCCCGGTAGCCTGCCCTTTTGGTTCACCTGCTCCGGACGTGCACCTCTTCTAAGAAGGCAGCGCGCCACAGAGGAGTGGCCATGAAGGCAGGACAAAGCCAGGGCGGTGTCACCTGCACCTGGCGCGACTGCGCAACCGACACACTGCCCAGGAGCCTCAAAGAACGAAAGGCCACAAAGAATAGGATTATCCTAACCCCTTTATGGTAGATTATAGGGTATCCTACCATGAAACCATATTCCAACTTTCGGGAGTTCCCTTTATAGTGAAGCTGATGGCAAGTCTGAGGATCCCGGAATAAGAACCCTCCGTGGCCCCCTCGATCAGGCACCCCGCAGGCTGCTTGATGCAGAGGATATTTAAACGAAAAGCAGAAGGGAAGGACATGATCAAAACCCAGCTGAAACATGTGACGATGCAAGGACAGTGCAAAAAATCGAACCCGAAGGAAAAGGAAGAAGGGTGTAAGTGTAGGGTTTGTGGGTTCCTGTAGGTTTTGGGTTTAGGAGCATGCAGGGGCATGTTAAGCGCAATGCTCGCCTTCTTGAGCATGAATGTCTGCCCTGCATTCGAGGAGCAGCTCACACACCTCGCAGTGTAGCAGGACCAGTCACCAACTTCAGGACAAAGCCAAGAAAACCCCCCCAAAGACCCTAAAACCCAAAACCGAAAAAACAAAAAAACGAGCCCTCTGAACAAACGCCTCCGCATGACCATGCACGGCCGCAAGGTGAAGAGCAGTGCGGCTGCTTTCGTCTCTGGTGTGGACCTTTGCCAGCATGAAGCCGTGATCGGCACGGCGGAGGATCCTCCTCACTTGGATGCTGTCGCCTGGCAGGGTTTTCATATAAGGGTTACTGTAGGGGATCTATAAGGGTACTATCATATAGGGGCATTAGTAGTTAGAGTAAGTTAGAGTAGGGTTTTCGGCTAAGGTTTAGGGGCTTAGAGAGGCTTTAGAGCTTTAGGGCTTTTGGGGGCTTTAGGGCTCTGGGGCTTTAGAGGGTCTGGTTTTCTAAGGGCTTCGGGTTTTACGATTTATTTAGGCCTGTGGGAGCCAGGCTTCAGCACTTACACCCGGACACTCCGGGCGAAGCAGGCTCGTGACGGTCTGGTTGGAGGTGATGCAAGCAAGCTTGCAAACCCGCGCCCCGCATAGAGCTACAAACCCAGCCTAGATCTACACATATCGGTTCAGGCACGATTCCTCTGTCTCGAAACTGATGCAGAACTGGTCGCAAGCTCAGTTTGGGAAACGAGGGAGAAGGCAGCAGGAACAGGAGGCCTACTACCGTCATCTCTGGCGGGCGCCCAGGGGCGTGCACAAGGATTGCAACAGAGGTCGCTGCCATCTTACATGAAATCAAAGCTTTGATAGCGACATGTTGAATCTGATGATGGCGCAAGGCCCCCTAAACCCTAAATACTAAACCCCTAAACCCTAACCCTAAACCCTTTTGCATCCAGGCCTATTGCGACTGCCGGGTACCCTGAAGAAAGGAAACCCCTAAACCCGAAAACCCTAAACCCGAAACCCCTAAACCTTGTCAAGGCTTTTGGATGGCTTTCGGATTCAGATCTGTTCCCAAATCTTGTCCCCAAGAACTTTAGGAAAGGGGCCGAATACAGGGTTCCTTTAAAGGGACCCCACACGATAATACAAACGGCGCACGGGGTCTGAGTTTTATATAGAGGCAATAGAAATTAGAATAGGGTTCTGCGGGTCTACTATAATATAACACGATAATTGTACCAAGGACCCCAAACTGGTTTTGGTAATTACTTCGGTCCCTCTATGATTCTGAAGCTTTCCAGCTCCTTCCTCCTCAGGACACCACCTCAGGATAACACCGTAAGACAACATCAATGCAAGTGCCCAAACTGCAGCTTAGGCTTGAGGGAATTCTTTTTGAGGTTTTAGGGTTTCTTCTCCAAGCCCTGAAAGCCTGGGGATCGGCATACTCACACAAGAGACTGCTGCAGGTCGCGGTCGCTCTGTCTAGCTGTTGGAGTTCAGGGCTTTGCGTATTGGAGCCTTAGCAGCTGGTAACATCGTCCTCCGTATCTTGATGACAAACAACTCTGATCTTTCCAATCATGGAGGCTCCTACACAAGGCCAGCAAGGCTGCGAAAGAATCACATTTCTTTCCGTGTCTTCCATGCTGAGCACTCATCTCCCGCCCTGGCGCATCTCAATCGAGCATCCACAAGACGGAGGTGCATCACCATGAAAGTCACGTCGGACAGCACTTCATTCCAAGAATGACGCTACGCCTGAGCTGCACCAAAACTCGAAAGAGTTTTTACGGCTTTATGGATGTCTCAGCGTAGCAACCACCGAGATCTTAGTCAGAAGACGGCAGCTCAGGGAGAAAAGTTTCCAGTGTCACGCACAATTTGTGCGTCAACAACAAACACAACTCAAGCTGAACTTGTCTGTACTTGGAGGAGCTATGGCCTTTGGCCATTGCAACTGTTTTCAACCTATCTGTCCATCCCAAAAATGGCTCGTGCACAGGTGTAGCGGGCATATACCTTCATTCCCAACCCGACCGTTGCAAGTGAAACGCAATCACTTCGCTCCTCCAAGCGCCATGCTCACAACTTCTGATACCATGCTCGAAGCTCTTGCCTTAGCTGAGCTTAGCGTAAAGTTGTGGATTTCGGAGGGCGTAGGTTGTAGACTGCAAAGTTTTGAGAGAAAATGAATCTCTTCCTACCATAAACCCTACCTGATCTGGAGTTTAAGCTGCAGGCCGTGGGCTGCCTCTGTTGCCTCTGGGCCAAATTAGCACCTCCTCGAAAGAAACCAGTAAGCCTAAATTGGCCTAAATAATGAACCCTGAATCCCAAACCCCAAAGCCCTTTTTGCAGCAGGCCTCGTTGTCCAGCAGCCCGGTTACAACCCCAAAGCCCTAAACCCTAAACCGTAAATCTCAAACCACTCGGTGCCTTGCAAACATCGCAACTCCAAGACTGTTACACAGAGACTACAACGTCCCTGCATCCCAAAACCAAGGGCATCCTTGGTTTAAGATATAGTCCATGGCTAAGACTACTAAGACGTTCCTGATTAGGATATGTAGGACGGTGTAGTTCTTCGTTCTGTTAATGGGCGTAGGATTCTGAGTGGTCACCCAAATGTGTCCGGGCGTAGCTATTCATACCGTCGCTCTTTTACATGTGCAGGTTGACAAATCGTGGAAAAACTCAATGAAGTCTAGGCTTGTGATGGCCATTACTCCGCTTTCTCGACATCCAGAGCCCTAAACCCCAAAACCCGAATTCCTTTCGAGACAATGCTAACGGAGCTGAAACCTTCTTCGGAGCTATGCCTTGTAGCGCGCCTCTTGTCTATACTGAACTTAGAACCCTACCAAAAATAACAAGTCTAGCTGCTTCTTAGGGATTATAATAACCAAAAATTAAAAATGATTTCTAAGTGCCCCTAAGTTGTCTTGTCGAGTGGCCATCCCTGACCCCTAGGAGGTCAAAAACTTGCTTGGGAGTTCCCGAAAATATGGGACCCCAATATAGTACCCTAAAAACTAGTAGGATCCTGATTATAAGGACCCCAAAAGAGGCTACCCCCTAATTTTCCGAAACTCCCATTTAGCATGGAAGGTCCAGGTTTAGGGCTTTACAGTAGTCAGAACATCTGCCCAAGTTCGGTCCAGGCTGTTTAAGGCTTCATGGTTCCTTTATGGGAACCCTCCTAGAACCCCGAATGGAGTAGGAACCCTCCTAGAGCCCTGAGATGGACCCTTTTGGAGTCTTCGAAAGCCATGACGGCAAGGTTCCTTCGCGAGAGTACATGTTAAGAGGTGGATTAGGGGTCTGGGGCTGAGAGGCCCCAAAACTTGAACCCCTGAACCACGAACTGCTACTATAGCGGCCTTAATAATTAGAATGGGGTTTTGGGGCCCAGTATACTATAACTATAATGAGGAACCTCGGAATAGTCTCGGCAATTATTTAGGCACCTATCTTAGTTAGCTTGCTACCACCAAATAGCACGCCCCTAAACCTACACCTTGACCTCCCTAAAGCCGTTAAGCCTTACACGCGACGTGCGACACCCGTAAACACTTCACCCTGATCCCTAACAATAGGGGCCGTAATGATTACGCAATGATTAGAATAAGAGTGGTACATAAAGTATGAATATGATAAGGAACCCAAAAATTCTATTGGTAGTTCTCAGGATTATTAACGCCTCCAAAATATTGGGTAGGTGCCGTTTTATAATAAGGACCCAAAAATGGACCCCACTATTGACAACCACCCATATGAACACAAAACAAACCTAAGGAGACTGTAGTTATATAGGTTATATATAGGGGCTATACTTCCCCAAGAAAGGTTGAAGGTTCCCTACTCTACTACTAGGGTTGTAGATGAACACAACGGTCCCCACTCATCATATAGATATACTGGGACCTTAAATAGTAGCCATATTGTAGACTCTTACTGTATGGGGGCAGTACCTAATCTCTTGGCTTGTATATGAACACAAAATAACCTACAGTAGAAGCCAAAAAGTTGGAACATCATGATCCTCATGCCCTTAAGATAAAGTAGAGGGAATCCCAGCACGAATCAACCTAAATCAACGTTTCAACTTTCTGGCATTCTACTATAACGACTCTGAACCCTAAACCCAACACCCTAAACCCTAAGCCCTAAACAGTAAACCCTAAACCCAAAACCCTAAATCCTAAACCCTAAGCCCTAAACCCTAAACCCAACACCCTAAATCCTAAATCCTAAGCCCTAAACCCTAAACCCTAAATCCTAAACCCTAAGCCCTAAACCCTAAACCCAAAACCCTAAATCCTAAACCCTAAGCCCTAAACCCTAAACCCAAAACCCTAATGTATATACGGCCTTTCTGGGGGCTCACTTGAAGGAGACTATCGGTTCAAGGTACCAGCTGCGTAGCTCGAGGGCCTGGGTCCTCAGATGCTCTCGGAGAGCTCGAAAAACCAAAAGCCCCAACCCTGAACTTCCGAGTTTAGGGTGGGGTTTAGGGGGGTTTAGGGTTTAGGGTTTGGGGTTTAGGGTTTAAGGTTTGCCATCGAATAGTGCTTAGGCGATAGTATCTTGCGACAAGGTTGTGTCGAGCGCATCGTACTGTGGCGATGAGCTGCGAAAGCCTGGGCGGCCTAAGCCTTGGGTTCAGGACACATCTCCGCAAGCTATAGTCCGGAATCATGGTAACACGCCCTGTAAACCAGCCCTTTATCGTAAATCGCACTCAAGTCCGTCAACAAAGCTTCCCCCGTTAAGAGCTACTGCCCTAATTATCTGTGAACTTGGCCCAGCTTCTCCAGGCTGTTCAAGATCTTCGCCGGATTGAGGAGCGAACGGAGCTGAAAGATCAGTTTGTCGCGGGAGGAATCGGACAGCTGTTCCCGCTTTCTCCACTTCTTAGGAGGAACTTTCCTTCTCAACTTCTTCTGGCGCTCTTGCAGCTTCCTGGCTTCACTTCTTTGCAGGCTGGCTTGCTCCAAACAGGTTGCTTGCATGTTGAAAAAAGCCTGAATGCTGCAAAGTAAAGCCTGAACCCTTCCATCCTGCAGTGGTCTTGATAATTAAAGGAAGTTCCTTATGCCCATACTCATACCACTATGAAGGGACTTTGACGGAATACTACCATTGCGAGTTCATATCTGTAAATGACGAGGTCTCCTGCAGCCGGAGTGTGATATGTACAGGCCATGTTCTGCAGCGACTTCCTCTTCCTGCTCGCGCTCCAGGCGCTCCAGTTCCTCTTCAACTCCTCAGCTGCAAGCAGCATGAGCATCGCACACGTTGTGACTATGTAGCCTGCCGCACCACCTCGGATGCTGCCGAGACTCCGTCCAAATGATTGGCACCAAGTACGGCCACGATGTTCGTGTGGCCGAGCAAGGCCGTGTTGCGAATGTTGGACGCCAGGTTGGCATCCCTTCGGCGCAGCGTGCTGTCGATATCTGCTCCGTCCACGATGGAAGCTTTGATATCTGCGAGGACCAGCAGCTTCTGTACTCCTCCTGGTTCTGAAGAACTCATGAAAGCACGAAAGGCCTTTCGAGTCTCGTCCGCATAGTGCTTAAACTGTCTCCGATTCACTTCGGGCTCATCCGGGTTCATCCAGTCTTTGGCTCTGGCATCTCGATGGCCGTTGCCCCGAATGAGGACTCTCAGCCGTTCACTGCAAAGCTCCAAGATCAAGGCACTTGGCTGCACGTCGCGCACGACCTTCGCGGCATACTGGGCTGATGCCTTGCTGGCATGATTCGTCCCGACCAGTGTGACCTTGGTCCCGTTGGCGATCGTCAGGGTGCGAAGGCAATCCATTTCAAGAAGATCCACTGCAAATGCCGTCTGATACAGTAGATCCTCGACTTTGTTCATTTCCTCTTTCATATCATCTGCGTCGGGTTGACCTGCCACATTCTCTGGGTCACCTGTGCAGATTGGCGTTTCTGTAGGGGACTAGGGCGTTCGAAGAGGACTCCGGAACCAGGGCTTCCAACCCTCCGACTTCTGCGCAACGGCCTCATCCAACCCTACTACTACGAAGCACTAGCAACCTGAAGAGCGCCAAGCAACCCTGCTGCTTCTTGATGCAAGAAGAATAGATCCTCCGGGTGGATCCTGATCCCAGACCCTGAGACCCAAAATCTGACTCCAAAGTCTAGTTGACTGAGCTTCGCGAGCGAAAAAGCCGTTTATTCTTCGCGACGGCCACCCAGGGACCTACAACATAATGTAGGAATCTGATTAAGAAACCCTGGGCCTATAACCCCAAAAGAGTGGGATTCATATAAGCAACGCAATAAAGGCCCAAGCTTTCTTCATCAGGTTCCTACATTAGGAGCCTAAGCACGGTCAAAGATCTCCACCTTTCACGCCTCTCACGGTCCCCCTTCCAGAGCTCCCAGAAAATCCCACGGAAGCCATACCCAAACGAAGATTCCAGGAGCGACAGCCACCTCGCACCCCTTGACACACCCCCAAGCCCCTACCAAACCTCAAACCCTTTTTTTGAACCCAGACTCTTGCGATCAGCTGGGAAGCAGCACTGCCAAACTAAATCTGGGCAGGGCCGCCAGATTGAAACCTCAAACGCTTAAACCCTTAAACCCTAAACCCCAAATGCTGAACGCTTGCGATCGAAACCCTAAACCTTCAACCCTAAACTCTAAACTCTCGCCTCCATCTTCAAGCCCAAAGCCCATGCCCCGTCGCAGGCTGCGCGAGCGCGGGTGCGATCGCGGGCTGGGCCCAACCCAGCAGAGCCGTAGAATCGGAGCCTCGGTTCTCTTGAGGTTTAGGGGTTTAGGGGTTTAGAGTTTAGGGTTTAGGGGTTAGGGTTTAGGGGTTTTGTGGCTTGTCGAAAATGTCAAGGGTTTGGGCGCCAATAAGTTTTGAGCGAAAGTTTGAACCGAAACGGTTTGAGCAGGTTTTCTGACTGAAACCTGATTTTGGGAATTGGGTGATGAGCTGGGCTGGTTGTTGGGCGGGCTGGGCGAGGTGGGGGCTGGGCTCGGGGCTGGGGCGTGGGAGAGCTTTGCTAGGGCAATTGGGCTGGCCGAACAGGCCACCAAAAAGTATTCTGATGGTTGGTGCTGGCGGGCTGGGCTTGGGCAGGGCTGGTGGGAACCGGGAGTTTCGCGACTGTAACCTGATTTTGAGTTCGGGGTTGGGGGGGGTGTTTTATTTGGAGGGACAGGGGCTGGGGACTGGGGTGAGGCCAGGGCTGGGGTGGCGGGAGGGGCCGGCGAGGCTGGGCTGGGACGGTTTCAAGCTTTTCAATGTAAAGAGGGACTAGCAGTTTCTATGCATCACTTTCTTGACGGTTTTTTGTTTTAGACTCTAGACGCTCCTTCTGTTCGCCGAAGTGTCCAGAAAGCCGGATTCCGCTGCGCGTGTAGCCGACTATATGAGGCTAGGCAAAAAAGTTTCAAACACGACGGTGGACAGGGCTTAGCGTTTTGGGGTTTAGGGTTTGGGTTTAGGGGTTTAGGGTTTAGGGTTTAGGGCTGAGGGTTTAGGGTTTAGGGTTTAGGGTTTAGGGTTTGGGGTTTAGGAACTTACTTTCAGGATCTTGACCGGCTGGCATATTAAAAGGATGTTCTAAGGAGCTGTTGGTCTTATATTATGGTTTGAACAAAGGTTTCATCAAGGAAAAAACTTAGCAAAAATGGCTGCTCAAGCTGTCTAGGGTTTCTTAAGACCCGCATAGAGTTCTACAGCTTATCGGATGTTCAGGAACTTAGTTGAGTTTCCTGAAAGAAGCAATACCTTCACAAGAGCCCAGCCGCCCATGACAACAGCGCAGCCAGGCGGGTCGCCGGTTGCATGGCACAGCACGAAGTGCTTCGGAAAATGTGAGGGAGGCAGAGTGATCTAAAATTGCTCCACGGTCACACGCATGCAAACACACACACACACACACACACAGACACACCACAGAGAGTGTGTGTGTGTGTGGTGCCCAGGCCCTGATGCAAAGGTTTGTCTTTGCCGCTGCTAGCGAGCAGCAAACCATTCTTCCTGCTGGCGCATAGGGGCCTGGGGCCTTAAGCTGAACCCGAAACCGAGTGCTTGGAGGTTCATGGGTACTTATATGCAACCCTTACAGAACACTTGTAGAATGGATGGGGAGCCGTTGCAGAACCGTGCTAGGACCCTTCAGCACTTCAAGGAATCATTTTGAGGACTCCTTTTCGGGCTCATAGCTGGGATTGTGTTACGTAAGTGTGTCCACGTCGTGCCTAGTGCAAATCATGGAACCAATACAAAATGACACTACTAATCATAGCAAGAAGCGTAAACAATAAACTTCGACAGTTATGACAGTCTCATGCTAGTACTAATACGAGAATAACCCTAAACCCTGAACCCTAAACCTAATGAGAACGAAACGATGAAACAACTCCACGACCTGATGCAGCCGCTGCCAGAAGAGCCGGAATGGGTCTGGGCAGGGTCCGGCTGCAGACCACAGGTTTGGGGTTTAGAGTTTAGAGTTTAGGGTTTCGGGCTTCGGGTTTAGAGTTGTATTTCGGGGTTTAGGGTTTAGGGGTTTAGGGGTTTATAGAAATTGTTAAGGGTTTGGGTGCCAATAACGTTTTGAGCGAAACGTTTTGAGCGAAACGTTTTGAGCGAAAGTTTTGGCGGAAAGTTTTTTGACTGAAACCACATTTTGAATTTGCTGGGCTGGGCTGGGCCTGGGCTGGGCTGGGCGGTCGGGGGCCTGGCAAGTCAGCTTATGGGGGGGAAGCATAGAAACTGTTAAGGGTTTGGGTGCCAATAAGTTTCGAGCGAAAGTTTTGAGCGAAACGTTTTGACCGAAAGTTTTCCGAATGAAACCACATTTTGCTTTTGCTGGGTTGGGCTGGGCTGGGTCGGGCTGCTTGGCTGGGCTGGCTGGGTTGGGCTGGGCTGGGCTGTGGGCTGGCGCTGGGCTGGGTCGGGCTGCTTGGGCTGGGCTGGGTCGCGCTGGGCTGGGCTGAACTGAACTGGCCTGGGCTGGCTGGGGGCTGGGCTGGGTCGGGTTGCTTGGGTGGGGCTGGCTGGTTTGAAGGTTGCAGAGAAATTGGTTTATCAAGAAGCTTGTTCCGTTTTTGAGCTCCAGCTCAATGTTGGCCGGGCCGTACCGGCGGTTACAAATTTGTAGAGAAATTGGTTTATCAAGAAGCTTGTTCAATCTTTAACCTGTGTGTTGGGCCGTAGCGGTGGTTACAAACAAGGACAAGCAACTTCTATTTATCACTTTCTTGAGAGTTTAGGGTTCAGGGTTCGGGGTTTAGAGTTTTATTTCAGGGTTTAGGGTTCGGGGTTTGGGGCATAGAGTTTTATTTCAGGGTTTAGGGTTCAGGGTTTGGGGTTTAGAATTTTACTTCAGGGTTTAGGGTTCAGGGTTTGGGGTTTAAAGTTCTATTTCAGGGTTTAGGGTTCAGGGTTTGGGGCGTAGAGTTTTATTTCAGGGTTTAGGGTTCAGGGTTTGGGGTTTAGAGTTCAGGGTTTGGGTTTAGAGTTTTATTGCAGGGTTTAGGGTTCAGGGTTTGGGGTTTAGAGTTTTACTTCAGGGTTTAGGGTTCAGGGTATGGGGTTTAAAGTTTTATTTCAGGGTTTAGGGTTCAGGGTTTGGGGCGTAGAGTTTTATTTCAGGGTTTGGGGTTCCGGGTTTGGGGTTTAGAGTTCAGGGTTTGGGGTTTAGAGTTTTATTGCAGGGTTTAGGGTTCAGGGTTTGGGGTTTAGAGTTTTATTTCAGCGTTTAGGGTTCAGGGTTTAGGGTTTAGAGTTGGGGTTTAGAGCGGCGGGGCGGCTCCTAATCCTTGGCGTCCTGACCCCGGCCAGGCTCACTGAAGCCCAACCCGCACCCTTAACCACAAAAGAGTCCGCAAAGCTTTAAACAACTTGGGAAACCCCGAAGGCAACAGCCTTTAAACGCTAAGCCCTTGACCCTAAACCCCCTAAGCCCCAACGGAGCCCTCCTCCCAGACAAGCCCCTATCTCCTAGGTAGCATTCGGAAGACACCCTGAAGTGGACCTTTCTTAACCCTACTTCTGGCTCTTTTTTCGAGATCTTATTGACAGGGTCTATATCCTCAAGGGTCCCGCTCACCCTAAACCTTAAACCCTAAACCCAAAACCCCAAGGGCCCCCCTAGTCCTAACTCCTACTGTCAGGTGTGCGTTCCCTGACCATGCCGGACATCGTCCGCAGCCCCCTGGAATGCCTAGTGCTTCCGTTGTTCTGGCACTTCAGGGTTTAGGGGTTCAGGGTTTGGCGCTAAGTCTACCTCTTCCAGCCTAGGGTTTGGGGCTGGAGGGTTTAGGATCTAAGTTTAATGTTGCTTTACTGGGCTTATGCAACGCGCTCTGCTAGCCACACCCTTTTTTGAACCCAGACTCTGCCGATCAGCTGGGAAACACTGCAAGACCTAAACCTGCAGCACAAAGGTGACCGTCTCATCACGAGAGGCCTGCAAACTTCACTGCGTAATCATGGTGCTAGCCACACCCTAAACCCTAAACCCTGAACCCAAAACCCCAAACCCTTCTACAAAGATTCCCAGTGGAAACCTCACGCCTCTGTGGCGTCTGTTGTGCTGCACGCAGCTGCTGCACCAAGTCAAAGGGCCCCTTTGGCACGGGGTCTCCGGCTGGGAAGCTTATCGTATAAAAAAGCTCGCACTTCTGTTGAGGATAAAAATCCTGCATTACCCATAAGACGGAATATACCATGATTTCCATGCGTTAGGGTCCTTAAGGTAATGCAGGAATTTATGTCATCAACCGTAGTTCGTGTTTGGTTTCTTGTTCTGAATGCAGACATACATTCATTCATTCATTCATTCATTCATTCATTCATTCATTCATTCTTTCATTTCATTTCATTCATTCATTCATTCATTCATTCATTCATTCATTAACAACCTCAGACAAGGGCGGATCTAAGCATTAAACATTCCTACTTCTCCCGCTTCGCAGGGGAACTAAAGTTTAACCTTTTTCAGGTCACGTCACCTTCTTGACGACGAAGTGTTCCTTTATACCGGCTCTAGCTAGGTGCGGGAAACAGCCCGAACTGTGAAGAGCGAGAGGTCCCCGCTGGCTTCGTGGAAGGCAACTGTGAGTTTAGGGTTGCGGGTTTTTGGGCTGAGGTTTTATATGGGTCTTAGAGTTTTGAGTTCGCGGTTTACGGTTTCTTGCCTCAGGATTCAGGGTTCAAAGTAAGGCTTCAGGAGTGGATTGCACCAAGCGGCCTGCATCGACCAATCGCTCTCGCCCTCTGGCCCGGCCGCTTCCTCCAGAGGGAGTTTCTTTGGGGGGGGGGGGGGGGGGGGGGGGGGGGGGGGTAGGGTTTAGGGTTTAGGGCTTAGGGCTTAGGGTTTATAGGGTTTAGGGTTTGGGGGGTGTTAAAAATACTAAAGGAACGACCATGAAATGGTACAGAACCGCTAAAAATCCTAATTGCAAGACAAGTTGTTGATGTCCTCGAGGTGCGCAGCACGTCTTTCACGAAAGTTTACGTATGTCCAGAAAGAAAAACCCTAACGAAGACGACCACCCCTTATACGAAGGAAGCTGATGAACCCGACAGACAAACCCTTCTGAGTATCATTCCGGCCTCGTCTGAAGCCATTCTTCGCAAAGCCCCGGAAGAGCTCGACCTGTCCCGGTGATTGGCTTTGGCTCCCCGACAGGCCCGATACCCCGATGATGAAGGAATCTGTCTGAAACTATCGAGGGGTGAATGACACGACTTACTTACCTGAGATGACCCAGGGCTGAAAATAGATTGTAATTTCTTCCCACCCGCCCAGCTGGGAGCTCGTCCGAAACTCATCACAGGGACTTGAAGGTTCTTAGGTTTGGGGGAGTGGGGCTTGGAGTTTTGGGGTTTTGATTTCGGGTTCAGAAGGCGCTTCTCTGCCCCCTCAGAAGGGCTCGTCCTCCGCTTCTGAGAGATCGAGAGAAAAAGTAATCGATTTTGCGAGGTGGATGAACAAACCCCACTTGCAGGTTTACGGGTAGTTTTAAGTGGGCTTGTAAGTTCCCTAAAGTGGGTTATACGAAAAGTTCCCCTACTTATAACTCCACTTCTAACTACCCGTGAACCTCCCAGCAGACCCATGTTTGGGCTGGTGGCAGCTATCAGGTTGGAGTAAAGGGCGGCTTTTGCAGTGAGAGCAGGCATCTGAAGGGGCGAGGTACTTTCTGTCAGGGCTCCACGGTTTAGGGCTTAGGGTTTAGGGTTGTTCTTGCCTGACCACGGGTTCAGGGATTTTGGCTTAGGGTTTCGTCTCTCACTCTCGCACGCAGCAGCCAAGGCTCCACATAAGTCTCATCTTGGCCTAGGGTTTAGGGTCTTTTTTGTTTTTACAGATGGGTTGACGTCCTTCTTTGTCTGTCTGCGCGCGCGGCTCCCAACAAACTGACGAAACGTTGCCATGGGCAAAACAATTGGGTCTAGGGTTTAGGCTTTTCGGGTTCGGGACTGAGGGACTTGGTCACTTTCGGTTTCAGAGTTCGGGGGTCATCACATCAGTCACGTCGGGACTAAGTGCCCAAATTCGCTGGGCGTGCTAAATTGGTTGTGTTATAGTTTGCTATTATTTTGGTCTATGTTAGTGCAATTTTTCATCTGTCATTGCATCTTCTTGTGTCTTCATGCAGAAATTGCGTATTGTCATTCATGCTTGCCCTCACTTTATTGTGTGCGGGTGTGCGTGTCAGTGAATGCCTGTGTGTTTGTGTGCTCCTGCCTCGTTGAGGAGCATGTTGCCGTAATCCTCGATGATTGCGCGACCACCTTCGGTAGAAAAAATACAACACAGGAGTCTAACAATTCTATCCTCTCTGTCATGCAGATGCAACAGCAAAGACTTCTATGCATGTGATCGTGATGGGGGTCCGTGCCCGCTCCACAAGGATCCAGCCTGTGCCTCCGAAGTGCAGTATTTTCCGGTTTCGGGTTTAGGTTTTAGGGTCGCAAACCTTGGCATCCCTTGTTGAAAACGAACTTGCTGGACTCTTACCAGGCTACCAGGCTACTAAGGTCCATGTACAACCCTTGCGTTACAGAACCCCTCTCGAGCCCTTAGTTCGTTGAAGGAAGCCTTACATCAAATCTCCAAGGACCCTTCGTTAAAGAATAGCGTCGACCCTAAACCCCTGAGGGGCCCTTTAACAAAAAGAAGTCTTAACGCTACATGTTCGAAACTAGTTCTGGTTGGGATAGGATTCAAGATGTAAATTTGTATTCCTTATAGGGGTTAAGTACCCATAAAGATGTAAAATGTTACCCAACTATGACAAAGGAAACAAACCTCACCGTGAGGGCCTTCATGGCCTCGCGTCTGGCCGGCTGTCTGCCATGGCTCCGAGCCGGAAGTCGGGCAAACTTTGTGCCCGAGACACTGCGAACCGAAAGTGAAAAGTTCGGGGCCTTAGGGTTTAGGGTTTCGGGTTTAGGGTTTCGGGTTTGGGGTTTGGGGGTTTAGGGGTTTAGGGTTTAGGGGTTTAGAGGTTCAGGGTGTAGATTTTAGGGTTCAGGATTTAAGGCTTAGTGTTTAGGTCTCAGGGCACAGGATGTAAGGTGTAGGGCGAACCGAGAGTCAGAAGCTCCGGGTGTTTTTGGCGACGCTCTGGATGGGACGAAGCTCCCGTGCAAGTTATATGCAGGGTTTCGGGACTTGGGGTGAAAGCTTTACAGCTCTAGGACATTAAGACTTAGGACTTAAAGTTTTTGGGACATGTGTTAGGCCCTACTAGGGCTTTAGAGCTCACAGTTCGCGGTTTAGGTTTCAACTTCAGGCCGACAACCGAAAAGCTAAAACAGATCTGAGACCTGAGCAACAATCCCGAAGGACATGATGCTTTATGGCATGGGTTCCTGTAGGGTTGCTTCATGGGCTCCATTACGAGTTCCTACTCGGGCTCTACTATGTATGTTTTAGGCTTGAAACAACGGGTCAAAGTAAACCACCCCGGTGCTTCCTGCTGGAGTTAAGTTCGTTCAGTTCTTCATCTCCCAGACTGCAAAAAGGCGTAGGGATTCTAGGCTTTTAGGGCTTCAAGGCTTGAGAGCTTTGGGGTTCTACTTTGGGCGTGGGTGTTGGGTCCTCGTTCGTGCTTTGGTGTTGTCGGCGAATGGTTGGCTGGTCGGTTCGTTGGTTCGTTGGTTGGTCGGTGGGTCGGTGGGTCGGTGGGTCGGTGGGTCGGTGGGTCGGTGGGTCGGTGGGTCGGTGGGTCGGTGGGTCGGTGGGTCGGTGGGTCGGTGGGTCGAAGGGTTGGTGGGTCGGTGGGTCGGTGGGTCGGTGGGTGGGTGGGTGGGTTGGTTGGTTTGTTGGTCAAAGGATTTCGGATATTGCGCAAATTGGGGCGTCTGATTTTGAGCAGCCTTTGTTGGTGTTAACGGTTTTTGCCCCTAAGCCCCGACACATAAGTCTAAGCCACCAACCCTACAGTCCAAATCATTCCGGGTGCGGGCTTGGTTGGCCCACCTGTTTACGAGGATCCAGGTTGACAGTTTGAGATTCAAGAGATTCAGCTACTCTCTGGGTGCATCTCGAAATTCGTCCACATTGCTACCCCTTTTCGGGACGTTTCGCGGCTATATCCTATACTGAACTTAGAACCCTAGCAAAAATTGTAATCTTAGCTGTTCCTTAGGGATTATAATAACCAAAAATTAAAAATTACTTCTAAGTACCCCTAAGGATCGCTGTAGGCACAAGCCGAAGTTGTGTGCCAGATCTTGTCGCGCTGGGTTGTTTCCACTGCATCTGGGCTCGACCAGCACAGCGTGCTAACAGAACCCTAAACCCTAAACCCTGAACCCTCGGGGCCTTTGGCCCAAAGCGTTCAAGCTGAATACAGGATGTCCTCAGGTGGGAGCGTGTGGCGCATATTGTCGCAGCCACCCGTCTAGGGCGCAAAGCCCGAAAGCCATTGAGTGAAACAGAAGATTCAACGAGATTTTGAACAAGAGACGCTTAGGGTTAGCGCATCAGTGCCCCCATGAGCTGTTGCAGGTCCGCTGGCGAAAGCTGTGCTGACATCTGCGAAAGCATTTCCATCTGCGACAGATCACTCTGGCCCTGGTTCTCTTCGCCTCGACCCTTTCTGCTTCGAATGTGCTCTTTCAGCTCCTCGAGGTTCACTTTCTCGCCTGCGAAGCTACAAGAAGTTATCGAGGTTCGGGTGAGTGCTCCCCCCACCATGCCATTGCTTCTGCTGCGATGTGATGCATTTCTAAGACTCCATTTCCCAATACCGTAAGCCCTAAACCTGACCGCAAAGCCGAAACCCGCAACCCAAATCCCCATACCTCACTCCGTAAAGCCTAAACCCTAAACCCCACACCCAACTCCCTAACCCACATCCCCAAAGCCAATATATATATATATATATATATACATATAGCCTCCAAAGCGACAAAAATATCTCTCTCTCTCTCTCTCTCTATCTCTCTCTCTCTCTCTCTCTCTCTTTCTCTCTCCCCCAAACCCAAATCCCTTTCTGCACAGACTTGTATATGCCCACCTGGATGTCACATAAACCCAAATCCCTAAACCCAAATCCCTAAAGCCTCCAGCCCGAACTCGAACTCATAAGGACCCTTAAAGGGGTTTGGGGGGGAGGGCGGTAGGGGGCCTTACTACCTGTAATAAGGTCTTAACAAAGGCATAGTTAAGGAAGTATGATGTAGGAACCTGATTAAGAAACCTTGGGCCTTTAATAGGGCTCCTTGTATGAATCCTACTATTTTGAATTTATAGGCCCAAGGTTTCGTAATCAGGTTCCTACATTAGTCCCCTACTTGGAGGTTCATGGGTAGCTATCCCACGTAGGGCCCCAAAAAAGTGCATAAGCAAAAAAGTAAGGATAGTGATATCCCATATAAAGCCCCCTTGTGATGAAGCCCGATCAGGTAGGGATATCCCCATACACTCCTAACTACGGGTCAGTCCCCTACTTGGAGGTTCATGGGTAGTTATAAGTAGGGTTATAAGTAGGGTAAGGGGACGTATAACCCTACTTAAAACTACCCATGACATGAACCTCCACCATAAACCCTAAACCCCGAAACCCTAAACCCTAAACCCTCCAAGTAGGGCTCCCTGTGACGAACCGGCCTGTCGCTCGCATCATCGGCCGCATATGCTCCCAACCTAGTTCATGGTTGGGATAAGCTTTTAGGGTTTTAAGGCTTAGGGCTTAGGCTTTAGGGGTTTAGGGTTTTGGTTTTCTAGTCCATGGTTGGGATACAACCTAGTTCATCAGTCTCCGAAAATTAGGGGTACCGTAGGGTTCCTTTAAAGGGTTACTACAAGGGTGGGATAGGACTGAGTTTGGATTTGTATTCCTTATAGGGTTTAAGTACCCATAAAAATGTAAAATGTTACCCAACTATGACAAAGCAACCGGGGATCTTCCCGGCTCCGGCGTGGACGGTCTGGAAGTCCTTGTGACAGGGTTTAGGGTTTTTAGAGCTTGTAGGGTTTAGGGTGCAGGAGTTTAGGAGGTTTAGGAGATTGAGGGTTGAGGGTTTTTGGGAATTGAGGGTTTCGGCGCTCACACTTGGACAATCCAGGCGAGGCATATAGTTCGGAGTCTGCTGAGTGAACGAAACGAACCTAAGGGAGCCATCAGACATCAACAATCATCAGGGTTTAGGGGTGTTAAGGCTTCGGGTTGAGAAGTTTATGGTTTAGGGTTTAGAAGTTCAGGGTTTAGGGTTTAGGAGTTTTGGCTTTAGGATTTAGGAGTGTAGGGTTCAGGGTTTAGGGTCTAGGGTTTTGGAGTTTAGGGTTTATGTCCCTCCTACTTAGCAAGGACGAGGGTGCAGGGTTTAGGGCTTGTGATATTACAAACTCTTGTTTGAACTCTCGTTATTATTGTACGGAAAGTGATCATACAGTTTTTTCTTGTATATTTATATACACGACATGACCATGAACACTATTAGCACTTGCTTGCTTATTGCCAGTGGCATTCTCATGATTACATATGTGATCATGAATATTCTTAGTAATTGCAATCATGATTTACTACTGCTAATTACTATAGTGTAGGAGTGATGTTGTTACTCTTGTGTATTGGACATCGCTTTTAGAGCTTGTTAACTTTATTGACGCTTGGCATGAACCTTCTTCAGACATAACTGCTACTACTTTTGTTGTTGTTGCCGTTACTGTTTTTCGCCAGCGCGTCTTACAATGTGTGCCCTACCTTTTAGGGCCTGGGGTGGGGTTAAATTAATGACAGACACTCCCGCGTCTCAATCATAATGTAGTGGCCTTAAGAATCAGAATAGGGTTTCGAGGCCCGTTATACTTTAATTATAGTAAGGAGCCCGCAAAATAGTGTTGGTAAGTACGTATTAAGGCCCCTGTACTACCCTAAACCCTAAACCCTAAACCCTATACCCAGCTTTAGCTGTTCAGTTGGGCGGCTTCGTGATGCCACCACACCGAGATCTCCCCAGTATCGGGGTCGGGCCGGAGACCGATCAAGGTCAAGCGAGTTCCCGGCGGGCCTTCCAGTCAAGAACTGGGAGTTTCCGAAAATTAGGGGTACCATGAGGGTTCCTTTAAAGGGTTCCTGTAAGGGTACTATAGGGGCTCCTTTAAAGGGATCTATAAGGTTCTAATTAGAGTTTCCGAAAATGAGGGGTACCTTGTTTTGGGGTCCTCATGATAGGGATCCTACTATTGAGGGTACTAAACTGGGCTCCCCTATTTTCGGAAACCCCCAAATGCAAGGAAAACTTAAGAAGGTCGAGAACGTACATGAAAACCTAAGCTCAAGAAAGCCCTTTTTGCCACTGGGCCTGGGGAAACCCTCAACCTTAGAAGCTGCCCCCACCCTGTAATAGTGGTATAATAGGAATATACTAGGGCCCTAATATAATCCTTAAAGTCACTATTACAGGGTGGGGGCAGCTTCTAACCTAAACCCTAAAAGAAACCCAAAACCGCCCCGGCTCCGCCTCCACGAATGCTCAAAACATCACCGGGTCTGAAGCCGACCACGTTGTACACCATCTCCGGTCGCACATCAAACCAATCCTAGGTGGGGCGTTTAAAGCTGTTAAAAAACATTAGCAAATAAGATCCTCTTAAGCCCATAAGAGGAAAGTATCAAAAGATTCTAAAGCCCTACCTAGAATCGGGTGTGGCATTCTTCCCGGCACCTATCGGGAGACGAGGTTGTCGTTTTTGGCACTGGTTTTTGCTGGGGAACTTCCTTTAAGTTACCATAACAGGGGTCAGTGCAGAATGCCGTATCCTTATCATGATAGCTTAGATCGAACTCCTAAACCAAAACCCTCAACCCTAAACCCAAAGTTAGATCAAACTCCTACACCAGAACCCCAAACCCCTAAACCCCTAAACCCCCAAACCCTAACTTAGATCAAACTCCTAAGCCCTAAACCCCCACCTATCGGAAAGCTGAAGTCACACTGCAACGAACCATCCAAGCTTTGGAGCAGCCCCAAAGCCTCAGCAAGGAGGCTTATAAGGGTTGTAGGGGTCGGGTAGGGTAGGGTAGGGTCGGGTAGGGTAGGGTCGGGGGGCAGGGTAGGGTAGGGAGGGTAGGGTAGGGTAGTTATAAGAACTATAAGAGTTATAAGGGTTATAAGGGATGCTACTATTGACCTAAACCCGAAACCCGAAATTCCCGGTAACCCTAAACCCTAAATCCCCACGGTATAGGGTGTAGAGCTTAGACGATTCTGACTTCTGGGGCTCTATAAAACAATTTATGCATAGGTACCTCCATAGGAACCTTAAGGAAAATTCTAAATTTTCCCCAATTTTCACTTAGTATTTCACTAAACCCGCCATCCGACATGAACCCTAGCAAACCCTCTTTCAACACCCTTTTTGCCACTGGCTTGCAACGTCACGCCAGGACAGCTGACTCCTAAAACCCCAAAGAAAAGCCGTAAACCCGCATAAGAACCCAGAAGCGGTTTCCATATCCCAGGCATCCGCCGCAGAGCCGGTTTCCAGTTCGTGGACAGGCCGGTTCTCTACCACTTTGAATCGGCTCAACGCCTTCAGATTTAGGGTTACAGCTTAAGGTTGTCGTAGGCTTAAAGTAGTATTGTTTAGGGTTGTGGTCTAGAGAAAGGGATTTAAGGCTATAAGTGGGGTTATAATTAGGGTAACTATACTTATAGCCCATATTAGTTGGGGACTTATAACCCTACTTATAACTACCCATGAACCTCCAAGTAAGGATTTAGGGTTTCGGGGGGGTTCTCTACGACGTTGAAACGGCTGAAGGCCTTCGGATTTAGAGTTGTAGTAGGGTTCCGAAAAAATTCTATGAGGGTTCGATGAAGGGCTCCATAAGATGTCTGTGCGGGTTGGGTAAGGGTTTAGAGGGGTTTGGGGGTTTAAGGCTTACGGATTAGAATATTCTTAATACTACTAATACTACTAATACTACTTATACTACTTAGAGTCTGCTCGAGGCCTTGTGCATCTTGGGGTTCAGCCCGGCCCCCTCCGCGGATTCCACGTGAAACCACACTTCTGCCACGCTGCCTGGGCTGCTGTTCTGGACCCTGACATAAGATGCCGTAGCACGGGCTAAAAGTAAAATGTGTCAGGAACATGATAACGACAAGGACCACGACAATGCTAAGTTACTGTTCTGCTCTGTTTTGGTACATCAGGTTCAGCTCCTTACCTAACGGATCATACAAGTAGGACGTAGTAAGCAGGGCTATAAGTACCTTGGCTCAGGCTATACGAGGATATAACTTCAGCCACCTTTCTTATCACCCTCTACACTACGTCTCCTGACCCTCTAAGTAACAAGACTCCTTGCTTCTTCCTAGGAAATCCATAAATCTATCAGAAAAACTACAAGAAGGGATTATCATACGCATCATCCATTCCCCCATTCCTCTCCAAGAACAAGGGAGCAGAGCCCAGCTGCCGGCGACCCGTCGGCCTCTTTGGCCATGCCGGGCGGCCAGCTGACGCATGGGATCGCTAGCGACGCCGATGCACGTCATCCGCTCACCGTCCGCCTGAAAAAGCCACATAAGGCGCTTTGAAGAAGCCGGTCTGGTAGTACATTTTGGAATATCAAGGCTGCTTACTATTTTGTACTTTGGAACCGCCTTGGAAGACTTATAGTACCCTCATGTACCCGGATAGTATGAGCCTTGTCGACCAAGACGTCACCAGATTTGAACGGCATGCGAAAGTGTTGAAGAATCTCCTCACGAACGTCGAAATGGAGAACTTGCCCTGACTTTGAAAGATACTTCAGCGTAGGCTTCAGGTTCTGACCGACCCATTCACGCTCATCATGATCTATCTCCCCGTCCGAAGCACCTTCAGCATCCTCACGGCTCGCCTCTGGCAGGCGCTTGTGTGTAATTTTGCGAAGGCAACGATCATGATTCGGGTGCGTAAACAGACCTGCGCCGTCTCTGCCGTCGCAGTGAAACCACATGTCCACTTTCTTGGCATCTGCACGGTACTTTAAGCCAACGCACGTGGCTCTGTCCCCATCCTTGTCCTCGACGACATCGCCAGGTTTGAACCCAGCAACCTTCTCACATGCTTCCACGCGGGTGTCAAACAGGGCATAGTGGGAGAACCTCGTGCCACAGCGGTAGCCAAAATTGCAGCGCAGGTGGTGCAACTGAATCTCACCCTTTGGAACCTCTCGAAGGGCTCGTGCAGCTTGGGCATCGGCGATGGCCGCGGCGAACACGAGTTCGGCTGAGTGACGCTCAGGCGTCCCCATTCGATAGCTCCTTCTGCGTCCCGTGACCTGGGAGTTTCCGAAAACAGGGGACCCTAATATAGTACCCGAAATAGTAGGATCCTTATTATAAGGATCCCAAAATAAGGTAACCCCCCCCCTTTTCAGAAACTCCCACCTGCCATTGCACCTTCACCCATCCAGGCCTGGGTGCACTCGGTCCGAAGGCCTCTCCGGAAGCGGAACACCAGGCAACAACTTTGCCAATACCTTGGGAGAATCAGATAGTAGGGGTTTAAGGGTTTAAGGGTTTAGGGTTTAGGGTTTAGGGCCTTCTTCAGGTATCCTTATCTTGAGGATTCTGCTATTTCGGGATGTTTCGGAAGTCTATGCTAGGGTCCCAGGCTTCCTGAAACTCCCACCTTGGGGTCCTCCATCTTCAGGCGTCATGTCATCGTCACTGTCACCATCATAACACCAATCGGGGCCACGCTCGACTAGCATGTCCAGCGCCACCAACTCCTCCACAACGGCCTCGCCAGTGAGACAAGACTGACGCCACTTGCGGAACTTCTTCTTGTCTCCCAGGGTAGGCAGCCTCTCCTCCATCTCTCTGTTTCGCATTACCTGCGTGAAGACGGATGTAAAACTGAAAGCCTTGAAACGGAAGAACACCATGCATGAACTACGGAAAGCATTCAGCCCACACTAGTCGTCGTCGTAGTAGTAGTAGTAGTAGTAGTAGCCGCAACAGTAATTGTTTTATCTTCATACTGAGATAACGTCATTGACGAAGAAAACAGACCCTGAGGAAACAAAAATGCAAAACCCTCAGATCCATTTCCAAGCGAAAGATGAAATCCGGCAAAAATTCACGGGGGCATGCGACGGGTTTGCCCAAGAACCTTGCGAAATGTTTGGCACGTACAGTGCCCTTTCACTTCCCAACTATTGCGCGCGCGCCCCACTTTCCTGGTAGCAGCTTCAAAACAACAAATACCGGGGCTGTCGTCTATCCTTTCCCATCGGAGGCAGGCGTCAGCAGCTGATGCCCTAAACCCTAAACCGCCGTCTCTTGTACCATGTCTGTACATTGCACGTCAAAACATGCATATCTTGTGCGTCGGTATTAGTTACATGCTTTTTTGTTGCAGTCTGCGGGGGTCACACAAAAGGCAGAAGCACAAGTTCAAGGAGTAGGCGCAGAGTTCAGGCCCATCCGAAAAGAACAAGATAGACAATCAAACAGCTGATGATTTCTGCCTTACCTGTGTTCCGGCACAGGAGATGCAAGCTTTCGGAGTTGCGAACACCGGGATTCAAGCAACGAAACGGATGATTATGCGCTGAGGAATCTTCAGCTGCGGACCAAAGGAGAGGCTCAATCATTGAATCACATTGAATAACGATCTGGGAGTTTGAAAGAACAGGGGACCCCAAAATGGTACCCTAAATAGTAGTATCCGTTTCTATAAGGACCCCAAACTCAGGTGCCCCTAATCAATGTTCGGAAACTCCCATCTATGATCTACCTCTCAATAACGCCCCGCTTTGCCGTCTCAAGACTAGTTCATGGTTGGGATAGGGTTTTAAAAAGGAATCTTTATTCCTTATCGGGTTTAAGTACCCATAAAAATGCAAAATGTTACCCAGCTATGACAAAGAAGAGCCTGGTCCTCGGAAAGCCCCTCAAAGACGTCTGCGGATAAGCCCAACATCCTCAACTTGTCCTTGCTTCGCGGCTCGGCGCTCACACTCGGACTCTCCGGCGAGGCATATGGTTCGAGGTCTGCTAACAATGTGCTAAGCATAACTACCAATGAGAGCACTCACAACAGTAAAACACGAGCCCTAACAAAATGGTTTTGGGTTTAGGGAGAGTGAACAAAGCGTGAACTGTCAAGCCGGTGTTGGGATTCATGCATTAAGGAATCCCAAAACACACCTCAAGCTTAAAGGTTTGGGTATCGGAGAACGAAGAACACCATAAAACCTCTAAGTAGGCCTCAAGCACCCTTCCAAAGAAAACCTCAATAACATTGCTTCAAACAGCCTTAAAACCTACACTTGCCATGAAACCCTTCAGGTCGAAGAACTACTCCCCCTCAACAAAATCCAACCCAACAGGCACGCCCAAAAATTGTATAAGAGAACTCTGCCGACGCCTCTCATGATTTTAAGCTATGTTCCCTTAATTAAGGGGGGTCTTGCGCTCTCTGGGCAGCTGAGCATCCTTGAAGTCCGTCTCTTGCCTGGCAGAAGGCCCCATCTTCACCACTTGGAGCAGACCTGGGCTCTAGTTTTAGGGTTCAGGGTTTAGGGTTTAGGGTTTTGGGGTTTAGGGTTTAGGGTTTTTAGGGTCCCCGGCAAGACTTCAAGAGGCCTGGATGCAAAAAGGGTTTAGGGTTTAGGGGTTTTGGGGCTCTGAAAAATATTTATGAATAGGTACCTCTATAGGAACCTTAAGGGGAAGTTGAAAAGTTTCCTAGATTCACCACTTGGAGACGTTCGCGTGCAGCCGGGTCAAAGCCTATGGCGGCCAAGTCTGCATCCTCCAAGTCCTCCGAGGCATCAGAAATGTGGGTAGCTGTCAAAACTAAGGTCCCCTTTTGGGTGCGCTAAGTAGTAGGTGCCGTACTGAAAAAGGGACCCAAAAAGGGACCACAATTTTGACAACTACCCATATAGGGGTTCAAGGTTTAGGGCTGAGACGGGAGAGCAGCAGTCCACAATCTTCAGCGATGTCTGCAATCCGTGCATTGAGGAAAGTTAGGGCTTAAGCGTTCAGTCTTTAGCATGTTAAGGTTTCGGCGCTCACACTCGACGCGAGGCATGGGTCCGTTTGGTCCGTGCTGGGTGAGAAACGATTGGCCGGTTAAAGCAGGCTGTAATTTAAGGCCTTACAGAACGACTTTTTGATTTAGGAATGCTCTTCACATTGTGCTAGGATGTGTAGGGATCCGCGAAAATCGATACTTAATTCAGAGATTTTCGAATCTCTAAGTCCTCAAGATCTTCGAAAGTGCAGATGCCTTGCTCCTCTAACTTGTCGATGTAGTCCGCCAGCCCAGCAGTTCGTAGAAAGTCTGCCCCACTTCTTACTTTGCCATCCTCGAGCAAGAACATCTCAACTTGCTTGAGAACCCATGCCATCATCTTCTCGCGCACTTTCGCATTCACCGCATCGAAACCGGCTCCTTTCTTAATGTGCTCTTTTACCATGTCTTCGTCCTTTCTCTCACGGGCCCTGGCGTGCTCCACATTTACTTCCTGGAACTTCTTTCGAATGTCATCCTGGGCTTCGAAGTAACCAAGGAGACAAAAAGTATAGACTTTTACTTCATAGCTGGTTCCCTTTAAGTAGCAGGTCCCAAAGAAGTAATCAAAGTATGGCACTCCAAAGCCCAGCATCCCAAACACCCGAGGCGATCTTCGTCCGAATGTCAGCTGCCTGGTCCGGTGGCAACATGATGTCCACCGTGACTCTGTCCGAGTTCGCCGCCGCAGTGTACATCTCCTTAACCCAGATAGCCCAATACCCCTTAAATAAGGAAGATAGCTTAAATCATAATATGAAGCCCCTAATGGTTTAAGGTATATAGATCCCTTAATTAACGAGTATTGGGCTCTCTGGGAAGCTCCATATGCCAACTACGACGGCCTGCAACCTAAACAGCCTCTGAAGGCCTGTCACAAGAAATGAGCCCGACTAACCCTTCTGAGCGGCATAAACGCACCACACACGCTCCAGGTACTTGGGCTGCATGAACTTATCAAGCATCACGACCATCTGCTGGATGTCAAGTAAGCGGGTTTGAAAAATGTCGCCTAGACTTTCATCCGTCACTTGTTGGCCTTCTTGGAGGCGATACTGGTTGTTGCAGAAGAAGCACTGCCAAATGAAGGCTTCCGTATGGGGATGCTGCGAACACCACTGCCTCCATGTTTGTAGATACATCTGCAAACGATAGTCCCAGCACCAGGATAAAAAGTGAGAAGCTCTCTGCGCATCACCCGCGGTCAGTGCATCTACCATGCTGCAATGAAGCCTCCCGTCACGAGGGCACAGCTTGTTGTAACCCAGGCCAGTTCTGCTCAACGCCAACGTCTTACTCATTTCATGAAACGTCGGATCGTCTTGACCTGTGCCTCGCTGAGCTTGCAGAGGAAAGCCCTCCAACAAGTATCCCAGGCGTGCTCCCAGGAGTTTGGAACTCGCGGAGGGCTCAAACTCCACCGGATCCGTACCTGCAGGCGGCGAACAACTTCGAAACATAACTCCAAAAAAACCCTGAAACCCGCGATGCTGATCCCTTGAACGCTTTTGCCAACCCACGAACCTTTTTTTTTGCAACTGGGCTTGGGGACTACCCAGAGAGCCCAATACCCCTTAATTAAGGAATATAGCTTAAATCATAATATGAAGCCCCTAATGATTTAAGGCATAATCCTTAATTAAAGGGTATTGGGCTCCCTGGGTAGTCAGATCCTTACATGACGGCCTTTCGTGTTCACCGGACTCTGTGCAGGTGCATTACTCGGCCATTCAATGATCCACTGAAGAAGATTTGCCGGTGTCTGAATTGAGTTTCTGAACCCATGAACCTTAAATCCTAAACCCTACATCCCTTTTGCTTAAATTCCCGACCCTCAATTCCAGGCTCCAATCCCAGACTCACAAATCTACTTTCTGGAGGCTGCTTTTGACGACTACCTTGCATAAAACTGTGTTTGTGGAGGTGATGAAGCCGACCCTCACCCTTGTTTGGAGGGTCGGGGGACTCAGTAAGTAGTAATTTTCTAGAGCTTTAAGTATCATAACCCCAAATTGGGACTCCTTTTGGGGTACTTATGGTGCTTTCTCTAACCCTAAACCCTAAACCGGCCCCTGGTGTCCTCCTGCAATCTGCGGCTCCGGTGCTGGTGGCGCCGGGAGCGCCGCTGGCGGCGCTGGAGAGCTTTTGGGCGTGGCGGCCATGTCGAGGGGGATCCGCGCTTGCCTGTACTGATGGGAGGCCAAAAAGGGGGTTGAAGATTCTTGTGGTAGGGATTTCTTCATATGAACCCTATCATGGGAACCCTAATCCCTACTAAACCTCCATAGGCTAAAACCCCTTTTGGCCTCCTATGATGTACCGGCTTTGGAAGCCAGGAGCCAGGGTTTCGTTTCAGGTTCTGGTACTGTTGAATTTCTGGTGTTTTGAAGGTTGTCGTGCGCTGCTGCGGTTCTGGAGCTCGCGAAGGTTTTGTATACTGTTGTAGTTCAGTGCAGAAGTTTCGCAAAACTAAAAAATGCTGCGGTTCGTTGAAGGTTCAAACTCATCCTCATAGGCTTCAAGGTTTCGGGTCATCGTTATGCGGTTTTATGGGGCAGGCAAGAGGGTTTTAGAACTTGATTTGAAGATCCCCCCTCAACTATCCACCGAGGTCCGGGAAGCGACTGGGTTCACAGGTGGTTACAAGTGGAGTTATACGCAAGGCAACTATATTGATAACCTCTTTTCCGGGACGCCACTACCCACTTATAGCTACCCATGAACCTCCAAGTAGGGCTCTAAGGGCCCTGTACTGTCTGGTGATGTCTGGTGCATACTTTAAGGTGAGGGTCTGACTGAAGGATCTGGTGTTGTTTGAGGGTCCCTTCCTTGGCGAGTCATACGATAATACAAAATGCGCTCTTCAGGCTTCTATGTTCAAGTTCTCCATTTCCCGAAATGTCATTACTTGAAACTTGAAGACCTGGGCCCATGTATCATCATGTATCGGCGTGATGCCCGACTACAATTACTGATAGCACCAAAAGATTTCTCCATGCCGTCCAGGGGCTCCCTGGCTTGCTTGAGCTCGCCCCGAAGCATCTCGTTGTTTTGGGCTCCTCTCAACAGGGCGCTCTCCACCTTCTCGTCCTTGGCGAGGACTGCAACTCGCATAGCGGCGGCTTCGATCTTCACCCGCAGCAGCGTATTCGCCTTGAGGTAGGCCGGGTGTTGCTTCGGAGATCTTGGACTAGTAGCTGCGCGCGCAGCACTCTTGCCCTCCCCGCTTTCCTTGATGATCTGACGCAAGATCGCCTCTTCGTCCTCTTGGAGGGTTGCGCAACTTGTGTCGATCGCTATCGGTCTGTTCAGCACAAAGGCGCTCAGAGGAAATTTTGCATCGCATGATCTTCGCTCACTCTCTGACTCAGTGACCATTGGATGGTCGGACAGCGAAAAAACTGTCGTCTCGCACGTTTTGGACTCCTCCACTGTAACGAAGCTCATGTGCATCGTTTCACCGCCATGTGTTGTGGATGTGAGGATTTCGGAAAGACACCACATTCTTCTCCAAATTTCACGCTGTGAGTCTATGTGCACTGCAATGCCATACAGGTGCCTCGATCCGAAGACAGCCGGAAGAACTACATCAGGAGAGTGAGAAACCTCATCATGCTGGTACAAGCAATAAGCTGCGGCCCAAAAAGAAGTCGCGTCGGTCTCACCATGTCTGTCAACCAAGTGCCGCAGACCCAGCACTAACGAAGCGTGGCTGATGGACCAAGGATGACACGAAAACCAGCTAGGCGGGCTCACCATGTCCTCGTATTTCATTTCGACATAGCTGCGTTTCTTTCCTTTGGTCTCTGGCTTGATGTAATTTCTCACGACCTGCTGAACGGAGGGCTTGGAGTTTGCCACCTGTCATGCGATGAATCGGCAACAACACCTTGCACAAACTCTTAAGAAGAGCGGCAATTCACACGTCATCCAACGCGCCTGTGGCCAGCATTCCTTCTGATAGCGATCTTGCACCACAGCGTCCACCTGCTCCAAAGAAACTCATGTGAGATTTGTGGTTCGGGGTTGAAGGGCCTCCACCAGCTGCTGGATTGTGATGCCCAGCCGTTCACAACCCTGCTTGCGCTGACGATTGCGAATTGATGCAGCGCTCCCCATGGCAGCGCAACCGTCCCTTATGCTTGTGACAACGAACGGATGTCAAGGTGCACTGTCAAAGTATTGCTTGTTATCGTCACAAGGTGTTGCACGTCCAGCTTTGCGGTTTCAAATGCCTTGGGAAGTTTTCATGTCAACATGGAACGTTCAGCACAGCTTGGGCAAAGCCGAGATTCATGCATGGAACGAGAGGAAAGTAAACAAATTTGATTTTGCTGGCATCAAACGGCTTATGTGCTTAGTTGGAATTGATACTGTATCGCGAAGTTGCATCAATCACTGCACACGTCGCTTCGCAACTTGCGCTGTTATTTGTGTTGAAAGCCGACAAACCGCCAGTATCATGCTATCACGAAGTTGAAACATATTCTCCTCTACAACAGGACAATGTGTGAGCATCTTGTCAAGAAAACCCAAACAAACCTTGCCATCTTTGTCACGCATCCGACAACAAACGTTTCCATCATTATCACGTGTACAACCAAACGTTTCCATTTTTGTCACCTGTCTGACCGCGAATCCGTTTAACGCAACCAGCAAGTTTGGGAATCTGAGACAAGCTAGGTCGTAGGCTCGCTGATGTATGCAAGGTTTAATCCATGTGGAAACATTGGCTCCAAAAATATGTCCGAATTTGTTCTTCTTTTCGTACCTGCGGCCAGCAAGCGGGGTGTCAGCCGAAGTTGCCCACTGGAGATGCTGACGTCGTGATGCGCATGTCGGACTGCAAGGAAAAGTGCGGCAGGTGGCCAGTTTGGGACAGCAGCTGTGCAGTGGATGCAAAGGTAAGGGTTGTCAAATGCATATCAAAGGCTGCTGATTGCAAGCACTGGCAGCATGGCGACGGTTCAGATCATCAGCAACGCATCGCAAACCGAGCCCCCGGACCGCCATTCCCTGGAATTAAGCACACGTCCCTGCACCTGAAGCCATGCAAATCATGCTGCGCCGACGTGTTACCGCTCACCTCAACACCTGCAGCGGCAGCATGCGGGGTGGTGGCCGTTCTTGGGTGCTCTGGGGGACCAAACAATCGCATGCCGACGCGCGGGGCTGTTTGCATGCCGGGCCAAAATCGTGGAGCACGCATGGTTTCGCGTAGACATGGGTGGTCCGCGCCGCCGCAGGAATGCGTCGGACGACCGCCACCGACTCGACGCGAGTTCGTAGTGGCGGTGACCATATTCATTTGCCCATCTGCTCAAGCCATTTTGGTTCAAACTTGGCTCCAGGGAGACAGAGGCCCAAACCTAGCGTGCCAAGTGCTCAAAGTCGTTGTTGGCGTCCGCCATAGAGATGCTGGTGTGTGGTCACCGCCAATGTTCTCTTTTCACTAAAGCGCTTGATCGCGCCGTCTGCCATATCCGGCCAGCTAGCGATATCCACGCTGCTGAGTGCCATGGAATGACGCCGCCTGCCAAAACTATGAGAAGACCAGCCGCTATACGTCCCCTCTGCAACGGATTGGATGATGACACTCCTGATGGGTCGATGGGGTTGTCCGTGGCTGCTAATGGAAACATCGTGCGCAGAGAGGGGATGCATGCCGATAGCACACCTCGGTCGCACATGTCTTCACCTGGAGAACCAAATCAACGACTTGCCGTCACAAGCAACCGCCATGCGCTTTGCACTTCGCCCGTTCGAGTGGGAGAGTACGGTCCCACAAAAACATGGGCGACAAGTGGGATCAAATGAAGGTACATCAGCCGCAATCACTAATAGCCGCCTTGCGAACATCCGCATCAGCCGCCCAGCAGGACTGCATGCGAACAATGGTGATTGGAGGTTTGGACATATTGCTATCATTGAAGGACGCCACGAGGTGGTTGACAAACAAACTCAACGCATTACAGGGTCCGCCGCACATCGGGACGCACATGCAAGCGCAAGCCTTCCAAAAGCTGCTATTTGCAAAGTTCCGATCTTCGGAAGACCGGGATACGGCAGCAGCATTGTTGAGAAGCGCTCATATGCGCTCATGACTGTGGCAGACAAGCGTAAGCTACGCAGGATCTACTAGCAATGCAGCATGTGCACAAAATTTCCGTTATGGGACTTCGATGGCAGCTCGGCGAACAGGGTTTCATGCAAAGGGAGATGGAGCGGGACAATCAGTTTATTAGCCTCGAAGTTGGGCCCAATGTGGTATCTGACTGGCCACCGGAATGGCAATCGGAATGTCGTCCTGGGAACATCTCCGTCCGAGTCGAGTATTTTTTCTAGCTCGGTTTCGCGGAAATGGGTAGCACAAGCGCGTGAACCGTGATGCTGCCAGCCCTGGCACCTCTCACCAAGCTCAGGAAAATCGCATTGTGCGGGGCGTGGGTCGTTGAGCAGGTCGCTCCACGACGGTCGAGCGTGCGCCCAGCCTCTTCAGCAGCACGCAGGCACGCGGCGGCCGAAGCAGGACCTTGGGTGAGCTCGGCAAGGCAACGGGCGGTGGCGAGGGGCCGACGAGCACGCAAAACATCGGCCCAAGCAGCCCAGCATGCAAACATGTATGCAGCAGGGGCGGTGCGCACCACACACTGCAAGCCCAAGCCTCCCAAGGGCGAGGGCAGCAGTGCAAAGCGGTGCGCGGCGGCGACCTCAGGGTCCGCGTCATCCTCTTCGCCAAGCAGCGCGAGGAGGCATCGCCAAACGGCGTCATCGTGGCCACGCGCACAGCTGGCAGAGAAGTTGGGCGGGAGGGTGCGCAGGAGGTGGTCAGGTGCTGGTCCGCCAGCGCGGTTGTACACCCGAGTTTTGCCGAGATTGGCGGCGACGCCCGCCCGGGTCTCGATGGAAGTGGTAACGACATCGAGCGACTCGAGCGGGTGTAGTGACGAGGTAAACGTCGTCAAGGAAGGCAGCTAAGCACTCACCGGGGTGCAGCTGCGCATCGGTGGCAGCCAGGGCGTCGTGTTGGCCAAGCGCATACAGCGCCGAGGCCACAGCATCCCCCTGTTCGCAGCCTTCAGCCAGACGGAATCTGACGGATGGTGCGCCGCTGGCCTGTACCGTCCCACCAGAAGTAAGTGGACTGCTGCCCGTACTTGAGGCGCACGAAGGGGACGAGTGCAGGCACGACGGCGTGCAGCTTCCGCAGGAACGCGGCACGCGACATCGTATCGTAGGCGCTGCGGCCGTCGAGTGATACGATGGTTGCCGCAGAGTCCAGATCGACAGCGGCCCGGAACTGGTACGGACAGGTAGCTTCATCAAAAGATTGAGCGAACATCCGCGCGAGACCGCGCGACACAAAACGCTGGAAAGTGTCACCGGTTGCGATACCACGCACGCCGCCAGCGGGCTTGCGGAGCGCGGTGGGCCGCGAGAGGCCCAAGGCAGCGGCGACGTCCGCGGGCACACGCGCAACAGCGAGGAAGTTAGCATGCAAACAGCTCGAGGGCCTCGGCATCGTCGAGCAGCAACTTGTAGTGCTCGCATGTAGCGCCCGACAGCCCAGCAGCGGCCTTATTCTGCGGCCGCATCGGGGACATCGGCTGTGCGGCTGGTGCATGGCGCGCCTGCAGCTGCACGCGCTGCCCCCAACAAGGCGTCCCACTGTCCAGCGCGGAAGGATGCGGAAGGCGCGCACGCGCGCGCGCGCTGCCAAAGAGCTTCGCGTTCGACCGTGCCAGGTTCGCGAGCGCAATGGAGCAGCACCCGCGGGGCCAGAAGGAACAGTTTCCAAGCGTGAGTCTGCTGAAAAACCGTGCCGCGCGCGCACGCTTCGCGAAGAGCACGCAAGGCGAGGACGAAGGCTTGTCGCACACCAGCTCGCAGAAAAACGAGCGCGCTTTGGATAGTAGGCGCGGGCGTTCCGAACTCGGCAGCGAAGTCAACAGCATCGAAGCTGGACCACGCAGAAACCGGAATCCTCGCGAGGGCTGAGTTGCTCGCGCCACCCTGCGAAGCTCCGGCAGGGGCGTTATAAATTGTTAATTAATCCCGGCACGCCTGTCGCTCCCGGCACGCCTGTCAATGAAACCCACGGTCGCGAGGTGCCCCCGCATGGTGTCGGGGCGTCGTTCGCGGCCTGTGGAGCGGACGCCTCAGCACGCGTTGGATGGGCAGGCAGCTCGGGAGGTGCGCCGGGCAAGGGCACTAGATACGACAGCACGCCTGTCTGGCGGAGCGTAGCGATATCCCTTTCCAAAGCTAATGCACCATGGTGGCCCAGCAGGAGAGTGGGCAACCCCTCTTGTATAGCCGCCGGGAAATATTGCCGTCCTCCGGCACGGCGACGGCGCGCAGCATCGCGCTGAGTGATTCGGCGCCGCTGAAGCGAGGCGCCGCCCACGCCACCAGTCTCTGGTACGGGGCCGACTGGCTGAGGTCGACCCTGCGTGCTCGTGTGACGAGCGCGATGGCGGCAAGTGTGACGTGCACAGGTAGAAACGGGCGATCTGACGCTGCTTCGTCCTGTCGTCGCCACCACACCCCAATTGAAGCCTCAACGGTCCATGCAGCTCGCGTCTCGGGCGAGACCATGCCAGCTGCGTGGAGCAGCAAAGCCACGTAAAAGCACGAGTTGGTATGCTGGGTGGTTCAAGGCACTGGCTCATATCCACTTCCCACAGCATGAGCACGCTGCACCGCATGCAAGCCGCGGCTGGGCCAGGGACCTGAACGCGTTCCCACTCCAGCTCACTGGAGCAGTGCATGCAAAGCCAGTGCCGTCTAACAGGCGCCCAGTGCATCCGGTTGTCCGGCAGTTCGATGAAGCCCAACGCGGGTCCTGCAAGCCGGCGGCAGCAAACGGCGCGCACGTGGGCAGGCTCCGACGGTTCCGAGGCATCAGCCCTAGGGAACGTGCGTGTTGCGTAGTCACGGACTTCGGCGTGGGTCGGGTCGGAGCAGCATGAGATTGGACCGCAAAGCTCGGCAGGCAAAAACGACAAATGAAAAAGTGCAAGAAACCTTGTGCAGAGCCTGGGCCTGGGCAAAACGAGCACCCGGCAGCGCGCCCAAGCCTTCGAAAAGGCAGCTGCCAAGCGCAAGCCAAGCACCCACAGCTCTCGGGCCCACCTTGTGCGTGGGCGCGTAAGGAGGTGGCGCGCCTCTTGGAAGCGCTGTTCCAATTTTTGCCCCCTCGACGGTTATTGCTGCTGTTGATGTGTGTCGCAGGCTGGCGTGGCTTGGGTGGGTGAGGATCGCGGCGCCAGGTGTTGCCGCCTCGGCGGTTTGTGCTCCCGCGGTGGTGCTTTGCAGGCGGGAGCGGGCTCGGCGCCTCGGCACCTCCGGCCCGCCTCTGAGCTGGCGGGTGCGGCGGCGGCTGGCGCTGTTGCGTAAGCCGGTGCCAGCTCCTCTGGGGGGGGTCGCGCAAGGACGATCCCCGCACCACTGCCACGAAGTCGGTCGCGGAACACCAAGTACTCCTTTTGCAAGGTGGCAGTGAAAGCGCAGTTCCCCAAGGTCAGAGTGACAGAGACCGGTTCCATGCGCAAACCCACCCAGCTATGGAAGCTGCTTGACACAGAGCTTGAACCAAAATGGCTTGAGTCAAAATGGCTTGAGCCACAATGGCTTCGGCAGAAACGCGGCGTGGGAGCACATGCGGGGTATCACGAAGCGACGGCACCGCCGCGACTACAGCACGACGAGCATCAACAACGGCCTGCTAGTTTTCGCCAAGTTTCGGCAGACCGCCCTTCCGATGTGCAACATGCGTTAGATGCCATTGGGGCTTCAGACGCCCGTTGCAGATTTTCTTTTAGGATTAGAGCTAACAAGACTACTGTCCTGGTCGTGGGTTGCAAAATGTAATTTCAATTTCACCCTTCAAAGTGTTCCCGTGCCAGTAGTCCCGCAGCACTGTTATTTGGCTGTCGTTTTCCCATTTTCCCGGAAGTGCACCAGGCATGGTGAGCGTTTTTATGCAAACAGCAACAGTAAATTTCATCAGTGCCCCACTTGGGCGGAAAATCGTCTGCTGCGTGGGCTTTCGGCGCAGCTTCTCCCACTCATATGTGTTCCTTTCAATGTTGTACGGCTGTCCGTTCCTCAGCACCAGATCAGTAACCTTTCGCGACAAGCAACTGCGTCCATGGGGCCGTAGCCTGTTGCAGTGGCCCGCTGGGGTTCCTGTAAGTTAGGTTGGGCCTTAACATGCCTTATTTCACCACGAAGTCTTAAGAAGCCAGTTCAGCATGCTCGGCGCTTATGCCCTGCAGTTCCTGCTAGCGCCGACAGGGGTGTTGCTGCACGGGTCTTTCGTTATGCCTGAGCGACACTCCTGTGCCCATGATGTCGCTAGTTATGTACGTGACTGTGGCATCCATGCGCCGCATGTGTGGGGAGTGCCGCCGGCGCCTGCAGTGGAAGCACCGAGGTTGTGGAGACGTCAGGCAAGTGCCTTGCCTTAGATCGGTCCACCCAGGGTTACACCGGGGCCAGCCCTGCGCAGTTGCAGAAATGATGTTGAAAAATATTCTATACAGAAATGGGCCAAACATGGCCAAACACACTGCCCTGACGAACGCCCGCTGTTTCAAGCCATGGCTGCGAAGCAAACCATTAACTACGGCAGAAGTATTTCTGAAGAGGTCATCCAATACCTTCCAGATCGAGCCCATGATGCCTGCTTCCGCTGGTTTAACTAGAAGCGCATTCTTCGGAGCCACCTCGAAGGATTTACTTTACGGACATCCACTAAACGCACCAAATGTTCGTTTGTGTCTCTGCAAACGGAAACGTTCGGCTTAGGTGTACACTTGTTCTTCGGCGCCCCAATGGAAGCCTGCCCGAGTTTCATCAATTTGCGGTGCAACATGAAGCAACAACCGTTTCGATAGAGCCTCTCGCACATCTTCGGACCACAGCACAACAAGCTGATGGGCCGGTAGTTCGTGAACTCCTCCGCTGAGCCGGTCTTGTGTAACGGTTTTATGATGGCAGTCCGCCATACAGATGGGACAATCGCCCAGGAGCGAAAATGCTCAGAGTAACATAACAATGCCGCACGAAAAACCTTATCCCCAACACGGAAAGCTTCACATGTCAGCCCATTCGGGCCAAGTGAACCATTAGCCGGCAACTTTTGCAGACCTTGCAAAACGACAGGCTCAGAGAACGGAAAGCGAATTGCGCGGCACTGCGGGACATAGCATGTCGCAACCTAGACACATGCTGCAAAGGATCGGGATCCTCATCAACGCACAGCGACACAAACGGGGCAGCAAAGGCGGGAACATCACGAAAGTGACAGCACCAAGCATCCAAACATGCGTTCCCCTCCAAACAGACTCCCTTGGGCGACGCATTACGCATGCAATGTGGAAGAAAATGGCTGCCGACGCCGAGCTGCCCACGAACGCCTAAGTTATTGCGACAAGCATAGCTGCGACAGGAAAATATGGACTTGTCTTACTTCTATGACCTAATTCCAGGGGCGCAGACACTTGCGCATGTACCTAAGACATGCTGAAACAGCACACTCGACCCTCACCGCCTGAATCCTGCACAAGTCGCGTTGCCTGACCCTAAGCCCATCAACCCTGTGAAATTGCAATTTTTCGCTCACTTCGATCTGGCCCCATGTCGTGAATTCCAGAACAACACACACTTCCTTTGGCTTGGCACGAAATGATGCAAGAGTAAACCGACAGGACCAAACGATACGAAAACAAATTGCAAAAGGTCGTCGTCCGGGGTTAGGTTTCCGGCCCAGAATCGGATAAATTTCGGTCCCTGACTCCAGACACAAGGAATGGAATGCATTGCGGGATTAGGGTCCCGTCCCTTTGCGTTGTCGCTGTCCCAAACACAAGAATGGCATATGTTGCTGTCTGCGAGGTGCAATGCTGACAGCAACATGTAACACGTTGCAGGCAAATGGTTTCCGCCCCCGTTGCGGAAACGGACTCAGCCACCCAAGTACTCCATTTAGCATGTACGTTTACACGTTTGCTACTCATGATTACTCATGGTCTTCGTGGGGTCCCAGCATGAGTAACAAACCTGGGACCCCTGCTCATGAGCAGACACCATGTCCAGGCGCTGACACACACACAGTTTTCGCGGAGCAAGTCTTCCACCCGGTCATGTCAAGTAACGCAATTGCCATGGCACGTCTTGAAACGGCATGTCTGATCAAGTCATTTGTTGTTTGAACTTCTCGTGCCGTGTAGTGTACAGAGTTGCTGACCTGACCAGGTTTGCAGCTGAAAAACATTGATTGATGCCTTTCACACGATGCTGCCCAGTTTCCTCGCTTCACCGGACATGATTCGATCAAAGCGGTAAGACGCAAACTCTTTCTTGCGGATAAGCGTGCACTTTCCAAAACGTTCAGGTACCGGCACCTGATGTCGGTCCTGATTCCATGCGAATCAACCGAGAACTTGGCATTGCATCACTGAAGGCAGCTACTGCCATTGCTAATGAACGAAATCGCTATGAAGCAAACGCATCTTCCACCGACCAACACTGTGGGCATTCCGGATACTGTTGCAGCGACATGGCATGAGCCTTCCACGCCCATGCCAGGATGTTATCATGGGTCCAACCATTTTAAACCGCACGACCCCGGTGAACACATGAATCCTTGCACGTTGCGCTTTGCATGTTGGAGCCACAAGCCCAGAGAGCCCAATACCCCGTAATTAAGGAATATACCTTGAATTATTAGGGCCTACTAGTATGATTTGAGCTATATTCCTCAAGTAAGGGGTATTGGGCTCTCTGGAGGGACTACGGCGCTACGGCGGGACATTAGAAATATCCCGTCAAGTGGCAGGTAAACGCCAAGTTCCTACACGTCACTCGGTCGAGCACAGGGGCGTGGACTTCGTAAGCCTCGCAGCTTCGGTGGTGCGTTGGGTTGCAACAATTGCAAAAGCGGTTGTGAGCCGAAGTACGGGCGAGACTCTGAGTGGAAGTGTGAAAATGTGGAGGCGTGACGCGGAGCTTTTGCCGTCGCACGCGAAGGGGTAAACGCATGTATCGTTACGGCATAATGCCTCACACCGCCCCCTAAGCCGGCGATCAGCGGGGTCGCCACTGCGAGCGGACGTCGCCGACTGCACCCTCTCGCGACTGGCAGTTGCAGCAGGCAAAGCGATGCACTGGCGACTGCGAACACAGCGTGTAGGCGGAATAGGCAGAGCAGTTGCAGCGGCTCGGTCTCGCGGAGATTTGTACAGCCCACGCTTTTGTGCCTCCGCAAGGATTTTAAGCGCTTTCGAGAGCACAAGGGCACAGACCGCAAGGCAGAAGCTGCAAACTCTGCACTTTGCAGGCTGTTGCCAAAGTCTTCAAGCAGGCGCCTGGGCATGGCGAGAGATGCGACGGGCCTGATGCTCCCAGAGACTCCAACATCCCTTAATCAAGGATTTTGCCTTACAATATAGTAGGATCCATCATATGATTTAAGGAATATTCTCTACTTCAAGGATATTGGATATACTTTACAGTATATATAGTAGGATCCCTAATATGATGTAAGGAATATTCCCTAATTAAGGGATTTTGGAGTATCTGGGGAACCGTGCCGGCGAATCGGTGAGCTCGGCTGGAGGCGCTCTCCGAGGCTCTCGAGGAGACTCCAATCTTCCTTTATCAGGGAATATACTTAGGGTTCCTTTAAGGGTTCCTCTAAGGGATCTATAGGGTTTAGGGGTTAGGGGACTCCAATATCCCTTAATTGGTGAAATATTCCTTAAATCATATGATCATATGAGGGATCTTACAATATTGTATATATTCCTTAACCTGCACTTTGCCAGATTGGCCGCTTGCGCGAACGATGACATGAGTAATTATGGCCAGAGTGGGCGAAGATACACGATGTCCACATCGTCTCGGAGCACTGCACAGTCCGATCTGCCGGAACCTGGTGACCAAGTTCGGGCAAACGTTTTGAGGGGTCTTGCGCGAACTTTCCATTGTGGCAGCCACCCCAAGACTCAGCGGCTGCGACCGGGGCGTCTGCTGAAACCGTTTCGGACAGTGTCATGGTGAGCGGCGGCAGTCAGTTGCGTTGGGCAGACATGCTTTGACAAGGAACCCCCAAGCCGGGAGTCCTGGACTCTCTCGACTTCCCTAGAGCTTCACACAATGGGAGTTTCCGAAAATTAGGGGTACCTTGTTTGGGGCCCTTATAATAAAGATCCTACTATTTAGGGTACTATATTAGTGCCCCCTACTTTCGGAAACTCCCAAATGGCTTAGAGGGGGCCTATGTAATGCCTGTTGTTGGATGCTTGCACGCTGTAGTTCGGCCCTGGGTTCCGCTTCAGGTGTGGACTCTTGGCCACCAGCTGTTGTGGGCTTTCTGTAAACCATTGGGTTTGCAGGCATTGGGGTGTCAATATAGGGGCCTGAAAAAATTAGAACAGGGTGTTGGGACCCAATATACTTTTCTTATAATAAGGAACCTCCCAAAATAATAATAAAGGTAATTATTTAGGCCCCTATAGTTAAAGGTGCCGGGGCTGTTGTT